ATCGGTTCTTTGTTGCCTGGACCATAAATACCGAAAAAAGGGCCGGCACCAACACAAATGAATCCCAAAATATCAATACCATGTATACTGCGTGTCACACACCCAGTAATACCCACTTCTGACGGTCCCTATTATTCTGCTAGTCAGTACACTAAAGACAGCGTTTTCTCACGGACCTAGAAGAAAAGGCGCTAAAAGATCTGGGTTTGCAAAAATGGACTTGCTCTTGGTGCTCAAACTTTTGTGAATAGTGGTCTCCTGATACAAGAAGCTCCTTCACTTTCTACATAGAACGAGAGGAAAGGATATATTATAGCTCTATGAATTCACTATCTGACGAAGGGGAGTTGTCAGATACGGTCACAATACATCATCTGCAATACGACTTGTTACGGGAGCCAGGAAAGAAATTGCAGAAAATACTGTAACAAACACGATATTGTTGACGTAGTGTTTGATAATAGGGCTGCCACGTGTATTACCAGTCTCATTCAAAGAACCGTCCGAAAGGAATAATGATTTTCAGTAATGCTACATGGTCCCTTTGCAGGCTATCACGGCACATATCCAAGGGTCCTAGAACCAATTTCAGACATTACTTGGTGGATCTTCAGCCAAGAGGGCCACAGGTCATGGCGGACAGGTTTCATTTGTCTGATAAATCTTGCACTCCCCTAGTTCGAGAGCTAGAAATATCTACTCTTCATCGAGGAGGATCATGCTAGAGAATCGAGGTGTCTGTCGGCCAATACCGGTTGAATTTGAAACCATTGTCAATTGTTTACTGTTTGCCGATAATCAAAAGGAACACGAAAGTGGAGAAGAATTGAAAGCCTATCAGAGACACCGTCCAAGCAGATTAAGCACTATTCAAGTAATAAGTCGGATGAGTTGGCGTCGCGTATGTTAGAGCATCACACTTGCATACTAAACAAAGGATCTTGGCCCATACAATATTTCGACCCGGGTATTCACATTTACTGGTTCACTCGCGGCCCCTTCGGCAAATTGTACTTTGCATGGGGCTCTAAGGTTTGGGTCTCTTATAATAAGCACTTTTTACAATATTCCGCATAATCTCCAGTTCTCCTGGATACAGCAGGGACCGCATTGGTTCAGGAGTGTTCGAGTCAATCAGGTATTGTTACAGTACCACGGGTCATGGATAAATCAAATTGAATTCATACTCACAAGTCAGACGAATCTGAGGACACCTTCATTGACATTGACAATCGCTCGCCCCTAAATTTCTCTATCATTAGATTTGAACGCCCTGAAAGCTCAAATATACCCTACCGAGGCTGCTCAACTATGAAAAATATGTAGCAATGTTGAACAACTCCACGCTTTCTGTATCCTGTGCCCGACAACCACAGCGCACCTGCGAATAAGCATTTGCAGGATATTACTGACCTTCGATAAAACCCCTTCGGTGAAAGATGGATTTATTCCGCCGCGGGTCATTTAAGGGTTGTTGTCATCCAACGACTGCGCCGAAAAGGCAATGATGAGGTCAGCCATTGGATCTCGGGCGTTGACTCTACCTGTCCATCTTGGAAGTCCAAATGTGGTTTTGAACTGGTCATACTGGTCGTATGGAATGTGCCTATGGTATATCCTGCAAGGACGAACGGCCAAGGCTTCTTGAAGGAGACTTTTTGTTCTACTTGAGTTTCTCTTTATACTCAAGCTGCCAGTGAAACAAGGAGCTTTGTCAGTGCGCCAACCTTGAGCAGCCGAAGGAGGTTGGCTCTTTGGGAAAGGATGAATTCCTGGGGGAGGTTGACTGCTTTCGGGAGGTTGACTGCTTGTGGGAGGTTGACTGCTTTCGGGAGGTTGACTGCTTGTGGGAGGTTGACTGCTTGGGTGAGGTTGACTGCTTGGGTGAGGTTGGCTCTTTGGGAAAGGATGAATTCCTGGGGGAGGTTGACTGCTTTCGGGAGGTTGACTGCTTGTGGGAGGTTGACTGCTTGTGGGAGGTTGACTGCTTGGGTGAGGTTGACTGCTTGGGTGAGGTTGGCTCTTTGGGAAAGGATGAATTCCTGGGGGAGGTTGACTGCTTTCGGGAGATTGACTGCTTGGGGGAAGGTTGGTCTCTGAGGCAGACTTTTGCCCCGGCTGAGCCTCCCACGGCTCTGGTTTTCCTTTTGGTTCTGGAGTGGCTCTACATCCGGACCTGTACGCTGACTGTTTTGCCTTTTTCCTGTCATCTACTTTGCTGCTGGGATTACTATGCGGTTGTGCCCTTTTTGGTCCACTTGTGCGGGGAGAAGCTCCGTATTGCTTTTTTGGCCCATATGGTCCATCAGGCCACTTAGCTCTAGGAGCAGGCTTCGATGAAGGCGTGAATGCAGTTTCCGCGCGTCCTGCCTTCCTCTGCTGCGCTGATTGTTTGGTTCTTTCGGCACCCGTTCTAGCGGTATTCCGTTCCTTTGCCTCAGAATACCCTGCAGCCTTTCTTTCCGCATTGTATTCCTTTCGTTTTTCTGGATCTTTCAACACGTGATACGCGTTCAGAATCTCCTGGAACGTTTCCGTACTCTCCACGCTCCCACTATTCTTATCGGGATGATGTTTGAGGGCTTGTTCAATCCTGGTAAGTTTTGATACCCTCCGACTATGTATTGAGTTCTTAATTCTTACCTACCGAGCGTTTTATATGCACGACTCAAATCCCTGGTCGACGCATTTTGACCTACTCCTAGGATTTCGTAATATCTTGGGACGTCTGACATATTGACTGTTGCACCCCGGCTTGTAATGTGGTGGTGCTTGAGCCAGGGTTATATGGTATCTCTAGACGAAATAATTTTGGGGGCGCATGCTTGCCCTAAATTCGTGACCTTCACCAAAGCGGTCCATATCAGGCCATCGGCATGCTAATTCGATGCGAAACATTTTCACTCCGACAGTAAAACAGTAAAACACAATCTCTTAATTTTGATGCATCAGTAAACGTATGAGGGTTTGGTTCAGTATCAACAGTGTGGAGCTTAGCTAGTCATAAATTTAGAAATAAAATCCACGCAGTGAAATGTTGCATGCATTATGAGATGATTCAGAAGGAAAGCAAACCATGTTACCAATTACCGGTGAATGACGGGAAAATTTCCAAATGCGTATATTTTCCCCACTTCCAAAAACAGCATTCCTCATCTTTCTCCCGTATCTGATATGAACTGCGATAAGCCTTTTAATTTGAAATTCAGTTCCATTTTTTGGTTGTCCGCTTAATGACCCCTCGACGCTCTCTCCCCTCGACCTGCCACTTGAAACCCAGCTCCATCCCGCCACCCACCGGTATCAAGTATTTTCACGCCGTTTTTAACCATTATTGCATTCCTTTACTTTACTACGTTAGGGTCTGTCGAGCCTAGTAATTTCCGATAGCACCTTGAGCTAGAAATATTATCTTTTACGTAGTGCTTTCCCCTACCACTTTTTGCGGCTATGGTCGTAGACTGGAGCCCCGCGGAAAGGAGTCGGGAACATATACTTTAATCTACCAGACTCGGACATGGCGACCAGCTCGGCCCAGCAAGCTGCGATTTTCGGGTTAAGGAAACTACCGCCAACTTCATCGTTGAATCACGTTGCATGCTAAATTAGCGTATTCTCGCTTACGGAGACCAAAAAAGAGCGGACCTTTTCTGTCGTGCTCAGAATTCCCCTCTTCATCCGACTGTCTCAACGAACCGAAAATCTTCTTTAGCAATGTACAAAACCCACAAAAGCCTAGAGGATTATATGAAAGATATCAGAAATCGCTTTAACCCAGTTGACGACGACACCAGGGAGAATTCAGCTGCGGTAACAGAAATTAGACAATGGTTGCAGCAGAAGTCCGAGATAATTTCAGATGCCGCCTTGCACGCCATTGGTAATGTCGAGCACAACGACGCAGATTTCTGTGATGCTATCTTGGCGGTGGACATGAGCCAAAAATCAGTTCTCATCGGCTGTGATGGCAAGGGAAGCCCAATCTTGCATGCTGAAGCAGTCGATCGATCTGATACGGATGTTGCGAGAATTGAAGAAATATTCTCGCGCTGGAGAGGTTTAACAGCCCTCGGACTATTCGTCGCCCGAATGGAAGATTTCGACTATGTTGTCGGAAAGATGACAAGGAGCGAAAGGTCGGAATTGTTTTGGTGCTGTCTCCATGGGTTGAAACTTCTGGACGGATCAGAGCATCAAGTCTACGCGGCTTGCACGAATAAGCGCTTCCCACGACGATTTGTCACCGGGGCTTTCAAGAAGGATTGGCCACCGTATGCCAAGACAGAAGCTCAATAACGTTTGAATATATGTATGGTGATGCACCGAGTCTGTGTACGTTTACCGCGTCGATAAAATTGGCCAGTTTCTGACATTCTGTTCGGTCAGTGAGTCTTGGATGTCAATAAAGCCATAGCTCTACAGGCTGGTGGGGCCATAGCCTTAGAGCAAATGAATATATTAGTTAGTTAATGTAGTTTCCTACCGACCGGAACACCCGGTCGTGCGGAACACCCCAAAATATCATGCTAAATACGATTTCTCAGATCATGATATTTAGACAACGAGGAGTTATTTTAGCTTGATTTTAAGTGGAGTGTAATTCCATAGCATTCGAAAGAGTATATATAGTACAGCCAATATATTCAGGAGATAATCATTTACTCACATTACCGAAATTACGCTCTGATCAACTAGAGTAGATATATATACATGAATTTTCGCGTCCCAAAATATTTCTTAACCTAATCAGAATTGTAGTATGATATATTACAGTCTAAGATACTCTAAGAATATTTAGTAATCCTTAGGTGTTGAATTATGGAGTTATGAAAAATCGCATTTACACCCCCTATCAATAAGTTTCCCGACACTCCCGATTATGTAATTTTAGCATGCCCTACCTACCATCTTCAAATATATATTTCTTCACTAACCATAGAGCCTACCACTACATAACTATATGAAAAGATTGCTAATTTGCCAGAGATAATATTGAATATCTAATATCTAGTGTACCACCCTCTAGCAACACGTAGTGCCTCCAAACGCCTAGGCATGCTAAGAATTAGACTATCAATTGTAGCCTGATCTAACGCAGCCCACGCAGCCTTTAAACACTCTATGAAGTACTGCCAATCTGCCTCAGATTTACCCATTCCGATTAGCTCTGGAAACATACTAAACACCTTTAGTTTTAATAAGCGCCACACCGGCTCAATAGGGTTCATATCAGGCGAGTGTGCCGGCCAGTCCACCACCTCGATCCCATGCGATTCAAACCACGATTTCGCGATATCGGCTGTATGGATCTTTGCGTTATCTTGCTGGAAGATAGTGCCGGGGGTATAGTGTGGAACTAGACCCTCGTTAAGCGCATCGATATAAGATCTCGCAGTATAGCCGTTCCTCGGTGCTAATTCATCACGCTCCATAACTACTAGATCTGAGCGGCCACCTAGCCAGATAGCCGCCCAAACCATCTGTGATATATCGCGTACGTGAGGCACAATATTCACAAGATCACGCCTATAGGCCTCCGAGGTAAACCGCCACACCCAGCCGCTGCTAGAACCGATAGTTTTGGAGTGCCTTTCCACGGAACATTCATCCGAAAATATCCACGTATTCCACGCGCGGAACCGGCGATATTTCAAAGCAAAACGGTAGCGCTTAAGCGCTCCAGAGGGCTTTAAAGGTATTCGTTTCCTCGACCGGCGTTTGCGAAGCCCGTATTTGATAAGAATTAACCGAAGAGACGATTTGCTCGGCGGATTAGGTAGCCGCGAGCGAAGCGCTAGGTAGCTCCAATTAGGATACCGGCGGGCTAACTGATAGATCTGGCGTCTAGCGCGAGGGCTAATCTTGATAGGGCGCCCGCTGCGAGGTAGGGATTCAACAGTGTCATGCTGTTTGAAGCGCTCGAGTGTGTCGTAAATTGTACTACGCGCGCAGGCGAATTCGCGCGCTAGTTTAGTAGGCGATTGGCCGCTCTCATGCTTAGATACGATGCCAGCGCGCTGCTCAGGCGATAGCTCTGCCTTTCGTCTCCTATTGCCACTAATAACAGTGCCAAATGAGCGTTCCATGGTTGTGTAGGATAAAAAATAACATAGGGGGTTGGACGCGTTGTATAAAAACGCGCTAAAAATTAGCGTGTGTCGGGAAACTTTTTGAACGGTATGTAGTATGATGTTTTTAGTTCCGCGCAGCAGGGAACTACGTTAACTAACGTAGTTCACGGCCGACCGAGCCACCCCAAAACACCATACTAAAAGCGATAATTTGCAACTTTATATCTCAACAACCATATATACAGAGGATAAGATACTAAAGATATACCAACTGGACACACTAAGTAACCTCCCTACTGAGTGAGAAAGGATAAATTCAAGTACTGTGAGAGAGATATATATTGGGAACCGTGCAAAAGCGAAGAGAGGGCACCAGAGACCAACGGAAGAGACCAGGATTCGATCCAGGATTCGAACCGTAGCATCTTCAAGTCCGCGTGCTATCGACGCGGCATACGCCCGCCGTAATCTGAGATTCTCGTCTCTGTACATCGGTTGGCTGTGGCATCGAAGACTGGCCAGGGATCTCGCGACAGAAGATCCGAGCGCAGTAGGAGCCGCCCGCTCTATTCGTGAGAGTCTACGGTCTATTAGGTCTGCTATTAGCGGAAATCTGCATTTTGTAGAATCTTGGCTAACAATCCGTTATCGTTTAATGCTCTTGCACGTCTAGCGCGAATTCACAGGAACGGTTGGGGACTTTCAGGAGAACGAGCGGGAGATCAATCATCCCGTTCGGTTCGGATCACGCCCTGTGGGCCGGATCGAGAACCCAAGAAATTCGAGACTTAGGTACGGTGTTAACTACATGTGTGACTACTTAGGGCTTCAGGAGGCACGTGACCACTGACGGAACTGCCCTTGGGAGGGAGCGTGGCCAAATTTCATACTGAACTCGTCCCTCGCGTTCTATAAGTAATTCTGAACTGGTGACAGAAGGGCAAGCGGATTTGCTCTCTCATTTGTAACGCGTTTCGCCACTTGGCCTGATTGCGCATATCGCTAATGTCAGGCCATCTGTAACTTACTGGTGTTGGGCGAATGATCTTCTCCTAATCAAGAATGTCGATGTCGCCGATTCTGCACAATATTCGAGGAACAAGAGCTAGTCGCCACATACAAATATGCAAAAATTGACGAGATCCCGCATATGCTCCAAAGAAAGTATCTAACGGAAGAAGGAGGAGTCAGTTTTGAAGAGCGTGGCACGGTTGATTTTCTAGCCTATTGTGCTGCGGCATGAGACGGCTTTCTGTTACCCTTTCATTATTTTCTTTCTCAATTATCCTGGATTCATCAATATTCTTTCTCGGGCTGAAATACCCGCACTTTCTTCCCCGATGTTTCCAACTATGCTAAGACAGAGATCAACATCCCAGTTTCACCAGTATCAGCTTGTTTGGACTCATCGTTGAACCATGAATGAAAAGCCCGGCTGCATGATGCGTACCTTCTGTGTCGTGAGATTAGCGCACCACTGTGTTGCGGACACCAACTAGGATCATTTTGAGGAGAGCTCTTGACAGCAAACGGTGTATGGTGAGCTTCTCAATCAAATTGCAATAGCCGGTGCCCGGATTTGAGTAGAAGGCGGTATCTCCTCAGAGTGGCGAGGTGGCGAAGGATGAGGGATCCGCGACAGACTAGGCTAATATAAAACATCCGAGTACAGAAATCCTATCACTTAAAATAAGATATCTATATAATACAATTCTGACAATAACTTGCATATCCTGACAAGATGATGAAGTAGTACTTCGACGTGCACAATGCTCTGCGACTGTCGTCTTGGATGGGTATTTGTTGACTCCTATTTTTACCCGGTCGCAGGTCTATGATACACCAGAACGTACCAAAAATAGAAACGACAGCAACAGCACTACTAATACCGAATTCAATCCCCCAGACACCGGATGCTCCAACCTACAGAGAACAGACAATGAGTCATCTTCAAATCGCTCATTGGTCCGAATATCAAGGATGTGCTCACGTGGATTACAATCTTATCGAGATCCATCCTGAGAAAAGGAGGTACTTTCGCTCCAGCGATGAAGAACAGTGGGGGAGAATACTGAACCATGACCTTGACAACAACGTTGGACTCGCCCCTATCGTTATGGTCTCCCGACTAGCGCTTGACAATGCGCGAAGAGGCAGTCGAGATGTAAGTGATGGCCGGTCGCCACCGGTGCTTTTGTTTCGTATTGGAGAGATGCTATGCCTTGATGGGCAATCTCGCGTGAGGGCGATCTTGAATCCTAGGACAGGGTCCATGACGAGAAAATTTGATTTGGTCCATCTGGTCCTTGACGGTGAGCCCCCTATTTCCGCTGACGGCACATGGGATTTGATGGATGACAAGCTGCCCTGATCAGAAATGGACGATCGTAAGCGACATGAGATTCTCTACGGTTCCTGCTACCAGATTCGTCCCAACTGCAGTAAGCTCTACACCGAAATCCAACAGACCGAAAACTTCGACGGGCGGCGGAGAAACCTACAGCTGAAGTCTACACTCAAGAAAAGCGAGCTAGAGGGCCTGAGGGCTCTGAAAAATTGTAAAAGGCTGTCTGATGCGTACAATAAAGTCAGGGAGGCTTTGCCGACCATGGCACACGGCTTTCTGTTCAGTCGGTTCAAGGCTTACCATGCCACATTATGCGAGGTTGTGAGTCAACAAAGCCCGTACTGTGCCAACTATGGCAGTTCTGACAGCAGGCCAGTCGATGGAACGGTATTTGGTGAGGTACATCTACGAATTCTGGCAGATTATGGGCAACGATGCGAGGTCAAAGATCGAGGGATTGGAGGAATTCCCGCTAAACCAAATACCCTCAGAAGCAATTGATCGGCTTCAAGGATTAATGCCAGCGACATCAAGCAAAGATCAATCAGAAGTTGACGAAGCCTTTTCAGTGCCTGAAATGTTTGGAGAGCTCAGTGAGACGCACCGAGAGGCGTTGAAAGACAGTATCTTAAGCTCACATCACATGATTCCCTCCTTCAAACTCTTCACAGTGCACATGCGAGTTCTAGAAAGGGTATCCGGCTGCCTCAAAGAAATGCTCGGCCTAAATGGGCAGCATGGGGCCCGCCGGCAAGGATGTTCGAGGCCACTCGAGACCATGCTACGAGAAATGTATACTTTGGATCGGAACAGTGACGATGAGTATCACATCCAGACTATGAATGGATGGCGGACCATCCGCGCTCCTTTCGAGGACCGGCGAGAGCTCAGTTGCCGTCAACTCTGGCTCTTTGCGATGAGGCACGCGGTCGGAGTGGGTCAGATGGATCCCGATCTTTTCGCCCGCGTAGCGACACGCCTAGGGTTCTACTCTGACTACATTACGGTAAATGCGGGCGCGTGTGCCGACTCAGCTGAGGATGAGGCTCTCAATCCACCATCTTCGCGGTGGGTGGACCTTGCAACCGTCTCTGTTGAGGAACGGCTAGGACAGAAAGGAGGCCGATGGCTCAAGAAGATCGAAGACGCTCAGAGGTATCTATTTTTTGATATTGCGGAGACCATCGGAACCAAGTCTGACAAAGCTTCACAAGAACGGAAAAGATGCACAACTCTGATGGAGTTGGCAAGCATATACCGTGCTCTCTTCGGGCAGCCACTCTCACCCTCTCCATATGCCGTAATGCCCCACGCAGAAAGTGATACTCAATTGGCCCTACATGCAGCGGCTAGTGAGCCTAGCCGGTCACAAGATCCGCCGCTCGACCGGAGTGTTAATTCCCCTGCGCCACCAATCGGGCAGACAGAGCAGTATGATGATACGGTAACGGATACCCTGCACCTCCTCCCGGGCGTTGGCGAAGAGGAAGAGCATGGTTCGGCCGAAATCGTCACCACGGAATCACCTCTGGTTAATAGGGCGCTTGGCTTGAGTGGGCTCCGGCTTCTCGATGTACTGCCCGCAGCTTCGATGATAGGCAACTGGCTCTCGCCAAGTACACTTGAACCAATACGCATCCCGATTCCGCGAGGAAGTCCTAACCAACAGATGCAAATGGCAATCCGAGATGTGGCGGACCTCGACGGGGACATCGGGGACACGGAATCGATACAGAGCGATAATGGTCTCCAACTGGAGAATTTAAATACCACTTCGCCGTCGACCTTTGATGGCCAGATTGACGGACAGCCAGGGAATCTACTTCAATTAACTATGGGAGCCGAGGAGCCGTCTACCGAAGCGTTGGGAGATACTGGCCGCGCAGCTCACACCTCCACAAGGGGGGATCCCGGTGAGGTACACCGATCGGAACTGCAACACGACAGACCCCGAACGGCCCAGATCCAGGACGGAGAGAGCCAGGCCACAGTTCCCAATGCCTCGGTTGGCCTAAATTCTCATGATACCATTCCGCATGAAGAAGATAGGGCATGGTACGGGGGAATCGTGAATGGTGATAGCCTACAGAGTTTACAGGTCGATACCGAACAATATGAGTCTGGCAACGCATTATTTGAGGCCGAGAGTATGTCGACGGAAGAGGGGCAGTCTGAACACGATCCCGAGATGGACATGGGGATTCCCACGGCGGGTCTTGAAAGGCAGGGGTCAGAGGCAACAAACGCTCCGCAAGTGATGGTAGAGAATGAGAGACCCGTCTTCTCTGAGACTCAGGATAAGATACCAATCATCGACGTGGGGATTGCACCGCCCGATGATCCCCCTGTGGCTCTTGGTAGTCAAGATCAAGGCAACGAATCGTCTTTGAACACCCAGTCAAGCCCTAGCCACGGGGAGCCATTACGCGAAAAGGAGATCGAAGTGACCGTTGATGCGGGGGTGCAGCAGAGACCACCACCCCCGGGCTAGGCCGGACCGCGGGTCTCCCTGCAGCTACCAGTGCGCCTAACTGGCAGGCACCTGATATGATGGATGTAGATGAGCCGCCAGAAGATCAAGCCTCGTTCAAGGACCGATCAGCCAGCTTCTCAACCACTCCTTCATCAAATAATGCGTCGCATACCTTTTCATCGACCCCAGGCGCTGCAGTACGCTCCCGGAAGCGCTCCACTAAGAGAAAAAACATATCCCGCAAACGCTCTAGTTCAGGTGGCTCTAGCTACATGCCTAAACGACGTTGTATGGAAATCGTCGTCGGACAGCGACGACTGAGTAGGGTATTGCTAGAACGTGCAAGGACAAGACTACGAAAGAAGAGAGCCTTCGTTCTCGACTTCTCCTCAGCTTCTGGTCGACCATTTGTACGATCTGATAAAATCGTTCATGGGCCGCGCTTACTCGCTGCTACGGAGGAGCTATTAGCTTCTGCCCGAGAGCTACACACGCAAACGGCAGCGGCAGTCGATGGTAATGCACCCGGGCCCCACCAGGCTTTCGACAGCCATCAGGCGAAGGCCGGTGGAAAAATCCCCGCCCATCAGCAACAAACCTATCCTAGTGCCGTACCAATATCGTCGTCAAATATTACATGTGGAGCGACTGGCATTAACGAGCCATCGGGCAAGCGACCGAGAGAACAAGGCAGTAGCGCCTCTAGTGATGGCGATAGCCCAGCGGAAGAGAGAAACAAATTGGATGCAGAGAATCCGGCTCTGGTGGATACTCCAAACAAGCGTCTTTGCTATGGGCTGAGTGATCCGCAAGGCATCACAGTAATTGACGCCGCCGGGCCCCACCAGGCTTCCGACAGCCATCAGGCGAAGACCGGTGGAAAAATCCCCGCCCATCAGCAACAATCCTATCCTAGTGCCGTACCTATATCGTCAAATATTACATGTGGAGCGACTGGCATTAGCGAGCCATCGGGCAAGCGACCGAGAGAACAAGGCAGTAGCGCCTCTAGTGATGGCGATAGCCCAGCGGAAGAGAGAAACAAGTTGGTTGCAGAGAATCCGGCTCTGGTGGATACTCCAAACAAACGTCTTTGCTATGGGCTGAGTGATCCGCAAGGCATTGCAGTAATTGACGCCGCCCGGAGACCTCTCGTGGAAGATATCACCATCAATCATTTGAGTAATAATGCGTCATCTAGGAGACGACGAAGTGAAGACGGCAGCGGTACTCCCAGCGACAGCGACACTCCAATGAAAGAAAGCAGCGAATTGATTGAAGAGCATCTCCATTCAATGGAAACTTCTAACATACGGCTCTGCCTCGGACTCAGTAATCCGCAAGACATCGCATCAATTTACGCTCGCCGACCTGTGGCCTTAAATCACGCGGCGACAATTGCCACTTTGAACCGGTCTCAACCCGGACAGTCTCAGGCCGAGGAAGCTGCCCAGAATCGATCAAACTGCGTTCCTCTACTCATCAACTCCAACGAAGAAGCGGCTTATTCCACCCCTCTATCTCTAGATCCGGGATTGCAGGCTCCTGATACTCAGGGTGATACTCAGGGCGATACTCAGGGCGATACTCTCATGGTTGATGCAAAAATAACGGGAAAGTCTCGCCGAAAGAAGCCACAAAAAGTCCATAGTCATGAGCATCATCTGACCGACAGCCTCGCCTTTATTGTAGTGCTGCTGGGCCCTGAAGTAAAGTTCGTTCGTTGTCGAGCAAAAAAAACAATCAAAGACTTTTTTGAGCGACACATTAGAGATAGTGGCGGCACCGGCAATTTCTTTGATCGAAATCTACGGATAGTTGTGTTAGATCCTAGCCAGCCCGGAGCAACGGGCATGAAACGGTTTTTCAAGACGGAAGACATTCTGGTTTACCAAATGACTGACCACAACGAGTCCAATACGGTGACTCTGGTGAAAAAAATCAATCTTGCAGTATCTTTGAAGAAAAAAGGAATAATAACTTCCGCCTCGCGAAGAACTTTATCTCGATTCAGGGCTCCCCGGCGCAAAAGTTAGACTATATTATAACGCTGAAGCTGGGGCACCCAAGATTTGCAAATGCTGGTTTGTTTCCGGGAAAGACGGCAATGGCTCGCCCGTGAGGAATGGAAGGCCAGCTTTTCATTCCATTCCAAACATTCACATTCACAGCGACTATTGAGTTTTTTCTCGGCTTAGGGTGCGAACACTATCAAGCCTCATCACACTTCTGTCCTGATCTAAGGTCGGTATGAAACTATACCTTCTTTGATAGTGATCAATATTTGTTTTTCTTGACATTGTCAATAGAGAAGACAGGGCTCTAGTGACTATAAGAGGGCATGAATCAAACAGTTCCTTACAGTATGATGCGAGCCACCATCTCATCATTGTCACAGAGAAAGGTTTCGTACATTACGGGAAAGGCAACAGCGGGTTAACTAGGGGATTGTTTATCATAATATATTTCAATCAAGAACACAAATAATTATGACCCTTCCAATCAGAAGACCCCAATCTGGCTCCAAGGTATCTTGAACCCTTCCCCATTGAAAAATACACTCTTGTCCCTCGAGATCAGGTTCCTTCACTTCCATCAGGTCTCTTCATCGTTTATCGCACTGACACTAATGGCTGGAAGCTTCCCGCTTGGGTCCTGTTCCATGTCGAACTTAACTCTCTGATTACTGTATAATGGGCCACTCTAAAGCAATAGCAATTGTGTTTCAGTACATTAGCAAACAATTGTATCCTTGCTCGATTATGCAGTACATACCTTCATGCCAGAAACGTGGAAAAAAAGCCCTGTCCTTCATTGATCTGTCCATCGTTGCTCTCTTGGAAATCGATACCCCTTTGTTTTAACTCCCATGATAGGTTTCTCTGGGGTGATAGGTTTCTCCGGGGTTATAAATCCATATTTTTTTCAGTACTGAACCATTTGACTCTGCCGTGCACCATCACTGCGGACTCGAACGTTATTCTGGGAAGTAGGCCGATGGAAAGAAAGCAACTCTGTAATTTCAAAGCGTAATGTTAGTGTTACGGAGAAATTAGATCAATGCAGGTGAACCTACGCAGCACAGTAACTACTTCGTCGGTGTTACATAATTGATTTCCCGCGTAACGTAATTACGGCCGAGCAGGTCACACGGTTGGCCGGGTCACCCTAAAACCCCATACTAAACGCGATTATTCAGGCCATGATATATCAACAACCGTAGGTTATTTTTGCTTAGATGTTCGAATATAGGCTTTCCTTACATTTTACAATAATACAACTTAAATTTAGGTGATTTAGGTAATTTAGATGATCACTTTGATGCCTTACCATAAAAGTACGCCGTAATTTTGACGAGAGGAACGTAAGTATATGTCTCTTTTGATACTTCTGGTAATCCTCCGGCACTATGCTAGTAGATTCTAAATTCTATCTATATCATATAGTTTTGATTTCCTATCACAAATAAATATGATTGTTGAGATATAAAGTGGTAAATTACTATAGGTTTTGGGGTGACCCGCCCAACCGTGTGACCCGCTCGGCCGTGGATTGTACGTTAACTAACGTAATTCCCAGCCGTCCCGAACACCCCCAAACACCATAGTATTCAAAGCATCCCTCGCAGTTCGGTCAAACCTGGTGCTCACAACCATCTATCCGTCAACCTAATCGGAATTTCTTGCATACCATAAATACATTTAAATCTGACAGCAGTCTGGCACTACCTTGCCACGTTGAGAAAACCCAATTGGTGCAAACGGAAGAGAGGCTCAATGCCTAAGCTAACATTACCAGACCGAGCGAGAATGTTCCGAGCTCTGCAGCATACTTATACGCCACACACGGCGATTTAAACTGAAACCGGCAAGGCGGTATGTGGAGGCTCAAAGGCCAAGAATACCTTTGCATCGCATTATGAATCGCACGAGCTGGCTCACTCCCTTTTTGAGATGTACTGTGTCAAGATAGGTTAAAGGTTTATCGCACTTATGACCCCGTGGTTTTCTTTGAACTGAGATCAACTCTATAAATAACAGTTGCGTATTTTTGCCTGTATCAGCTAGTGATTCCAGGCACTGCGTAAAGGTCTACTTCAGAATATGATACGTTCAAAAATAGCACTTTTAGCGAACTGCCTCTTCTCGCTAAGTATATGAAGCATAATCTGCTTCCTCAGTTTTGGATGCGCAGTAATTGCCCCTGTAGCATACTGAGCCTACAGCTAACTATGCTCTTCCAGGCTGCAAGGTATAAAATTGAACTGCGTGCTAGATAACTCCTCATCTATTTTTGGGTCTGTTCAGTTTCACTTTTGACACCTTTCAAGCACAGCCCAGTCACACAGGCCCTCTGCAACACCCGGGTGAGTCTTACACTTTACTGGATTGCATGAAAAATCTAATATTCACATACCTGGCTCGGCGATCTCCACTGCCTGATGAATTAATGAGCATCTATATGGAGCAGAATTCAGGGCCTGCCATAACCCTACATGAGATTCTTTGAAATGCCAGTGTCCGTAACCTAATGATTGACTTGTGGACGGTGCTGGACGATAAGTCAGATGAGAGTAGATGGATTTGAGGGGACTTGAAATTTTTATTTTATCAATTCCCTCATTTCAAGTGAATTCAAGTTTTCTTCTCAATCTTTAGCCTTCTCACGGGATGTAGACAATCACAACGCGTCCGAACTTTCTTTGATATCTATCAAAACATCGAGAAGAGAGGCGAAATGTACTCAATTCAAGACTGTCTTAAAGTAAAACGCTTGAATCGGCTGAATTCCAGACTCCAGACCTGATCTTGAACTAGTTTATCACGATTGACGTTGGCATTTCTCTGAAGATTTATAATAAGGCGAGGAACCCAGAGTTGTGACTTTGGCGCCATTCCAGAACTCCAATCAGTGACCAAAACATTTTCCAACTCGTATCACATGTTCAAGGTAATTTTTGGATTGCTTCGTAATTCTAATGTTGGCTCTTTAGAAATTTGGTCGTGCTACAGCGGCGTTCGTCGACACGACCCATTTCGAAATCAAGAAAGTGGTCCTTCAGACCGTAATCACATGATGTGTAATACCAAATATGATAAAAGGATGTGAATTGCATTGCTCCTACAACCAACGTAATGTTACAAAAGCTACAGAACTGCTAACGCAAATTAGCTGACAACATCTGCTAACCGCTAGGGTTTCATAGTTCTGACGGCACGAAAAGCGTTTTCAGAGCCTCAAGACAGACAAAATGTCACTGCTCGGTTTGCCTTCCGAATTACTACTTGTCGTTGCAGATTTTCTGGAGGCCGAGGGAGACATTAACTCATTGGCTCAAGCCAACCGCTGCGCTTAATCTCTACTAAATCCGTACCTGTATCGACGTAATTCGGTGGGTTCCGGAAGCTCGGCTCTATTATGGGCAGCCCGTCAGGGTCGGGAGGAGACAGCTCGAATATGTATTTCTGAAAGAGCAAATATTGAGGTGATCGATGGCGTTGCCAGAACGCCGTTATCGCGCGCGGCCGGGAATGGGCACGAGGGGGTGGTGAGGCTTTTGCTAGCAACTGGGAGAGTCGATGTCGATTCCAAGGACTTAGAAGACTTAGAAGGTCGCAGTCCGCTGTCTCATGCTGCCGGTAATGGCCACGCGGGGGTTGTATAGCTGTTATTAACAACAGGGAAGGTGGATGTCGACGGAAGGGACGACCTCAATACCACACCGTTTTCTCTCGCTGCCGGAAATGGCCACGAGAGGGTAGTGAGCCTGTTATTAACAACAGGGAGAGTGGATATCGATGCAGAAGATAACTTCAACATCACAACGTTATCAGGAGCTGCGCGCAATGGCCACGAAGGGGTAGTGAGGCTGCTACTAGCGACCGGGAGGGTGGATGTCCACACAAAGAACGCAAAAGGTCGTATTCTGTTGTCTCGCGCTGCCAGCAGGGGCCATGAGGGAGTGGTGAGCCTGTTACTATCGACTGGGAGATCGGATACGTACTGGACTCGAAATGTCGTCGACCGTTGTCTCGCGCTACTCAGAGGGGTCTGGAAGTAGTGGTGAAGCTATTGCTAGCGACCACAGATGCGGATGTCAACTCCAATGACTGTGGTTATAACATACCATTATTATGGGCCGCTTTTCGTGGCTACGAGACGATGGAAAAGCTTTTATTTGTAACCGTAAAAGTATGTGTCGACAGTTATAGGTCACTGGGAAGGGCTATACAGTTTGGTGAAGCCTGATGGTGGACATCCGGCGGGTGGATGTCAACCTAAAACACTCCGTTGTCAGTGGGCGTAACGAAGTCGGATCTTGTAACTCAGCGTAGAGAGGGTCTGCGAGTCTAAACGATAATGATATTCTTGAGCTAGCTACACGATATTACGAGGTCTGGCGGCATATTGAGTCGGGGAAAGGGCTATCGCATCACGGATAGGTAATTTTTGAGCTTCTTAAGAGACGGGGTCGTATTCCTAGCCCGCCGCGTAAGGCAACTGGGTATAGTCGGAGCCGGACAGTTAGTTGGGATGTTAAAGTTAGGAAGAGTTTTTCCATGCTTGTAGCTTATCGATGCTCGAGTATTTCTGTTTTGGCATACAGAATAAACCATGTTCAGTACTAGTAATTATACTTGAAAAGCGTAGGCAAGACGTACAGTCGGACCCCTATGCAGGTCGTCCAAAGTGGTCATGTCCATTATAAACCTTATTTCCTCACAGAAATCGTGAGTTAGAGCCTTAGTCTGCGAGATTGTGGAGCTCCGATATTCGGCTGTGATCTCTCAATAGGCTTTTCAATCTGAATTCAGTACCGGTTAAGAACGTGTCACAGGATGATAGAATAGAGGCGAGGGAATATATGTCCGCTGGATTTGTTCAAACCAGAGTTAATCCATCTAAAAATTCGACTAGTTCAGATCTTCCAGAATGAGGCACCTAAAGTCGGCAATTTCTAGATGTCTATCGCCAATCTGCGGTGCGAACTCGAACGAGCGCAGTATCCACTGATTCAACTGGAACGAGGTGACCGTAGAGGTCCGGAATGCCCCATTACATGCTCAGAGCCGCGCGGAGAATAGCTCCAATGTGGACCAGAGGATAGGATGTAGAACTTCAAAATTGCGTTAAAGCCGTCTTCTCGCTTTTTAATTCTCCTACTGATCGATGCTACTAGCAAATATAGAATTGGGCTGTTGGGCGAGACCATTAAGATATGGCCAACTCCGCAATGCGGCAAATTTCTTTGCCAAGGGTGCCTTTGGCGGCCAGAGAAGCTCACGAAGACGTGCGGCGCAGGTCATGAATGTATTTGCGCAGATTTGGGTGTTCGGTGCCGATGTGCACCACTCTAAAATGCAGGACTCTCGCAAGGCTCCCCCATATCGCCTATCCACTTTGCATTTTTCAACTGCGACCTAGTCGACCAGGCCGTCGACCCCCACCGTGGAGCATTAACCTTCTTCGACGATTAATTCCGTTGACGGGTGGGTAGATACCTCGGGAAAATTCAGTCCGAGGATATTCCACAGGTCGAAGCATGGGCTCGGAAAACGGGGTCCAGCTTCGTAGCGGAGAGAACCGAACCCATCTATATCACCAGAAAGAGCCGCGAACAATGCTAAGGCCAGATCGCCATGATTGATATAACCATCAGACCTTCGACAGCCGCCAAGCTCTTGGATGTGGTCATCGACCACGAGCTACGATGGGAAGAATGATTATTTCGATGCTTTACTATAAATTAGGCCGCAAAGTGAGACATGTAAATCAAGGTATCTCTATCTACACTCCCCGCCATGATCCTACAACTTGCTAGTAGATTCCAAATGCTATTCTTATCATAGTTATATCGTAAATATACATAGCTGTTGGGATAGGAAGGGTGATACATCGCACTTACCGTGGGTTTTGGTCACCCGCTCGACTGTGGATTACGTTTACTAAACAACTAATCAACGTAGTTGGCGAGTTGGTTATGTGCCTTGGAGAAACCATTCCTAGGCCCTGAATTTGCGTGAGCAGCCTTCTTTGGTGGAATCGCGCTATATCAATTTGCAGGAGGATAGACTCAAACAACAGCATCTATGGTTATTTCCATCTAGCTTTCAACATGTCTTTTTTTGGCTTTACCATGATTCTACAAAAATATGGCAATATGCGGTTCTTCTCCAAGTCTGAACCCGCACCGACAAACACATTCCAAGTTCGGCTGAGCGACGCCTTGAAATTCAATCTTTTGCTTAATTGGCTCCTCCATTCTGCCACTTCCTTCTGACGGGAGGGTCTTGGTCTTACTATTTGAATCATGAGTTTTTAAACCTATTCTTATGGCTAAAAGGGAACAAGCCGCTCAAGTACTGTATGGAACTATCAATAGACGACGCAGACTCTCAAACACTCCCGTTGAGCCTCTACGTACCTGTTCAAGATCTCCTAATCTAAATTAGGTTGCGGATGAATCAACGTATCACTTTCTGCTCATCCGCTCGCTATGTTATGAAGAATGGCCTGACGAATCTTTTAGGGTCAGTTCAGAGGCCATATATTAGTTCCTCAATCTCCCCACCTTGATCCACCGCCGAAGTCGGCGCAATCGGCCCATTACACCAAAAGTCAAGCTTCGGCTCTGGTGACTAAACGAAGATCTTCTTTTGATACTCTCGTGACTACCTGAGCTGCAGATCATGCATATAACCGATATTTGGGGGGTGGGCAAACAGACTTCCAGGATCGAGGTTTGTGGTCCTGGACTTGTGACCACGATACATGGAACATTGTTGATTGAGCAGCCCATAGAAATTTCACCGGCCTTGTACTGCGCCCTGGAATCGGTTTTTCGTTGTTGATCATTGTCCGCAAGGTCCCGCGCACGAATTATATACGGGAACCAGACTTGTGACTGGCGTTGTTCTTTTGTCAATTTAAGTCCGCTGTAGATCAAAGGTCCGTGGCTAAATTTAGAAACGATCAGTTCTGGAAGATTATTATTAGATCGGAAAACTTAGGGCTTATGCAGGAGGACCATTTTAGAGAAAAAAACATAGAACAATCTTAATCTTGAAAATTAATTCGCCTTACTGTGCGGTACTTGTTACAGTACGGTTATATGTGACGATGTCTAAGTTAGGCTATCAGCATTGGTTCCGAACATTGTTTGAAGTCAAAGGGTATTCGGCCGTCGTTGGAACCATTAGTGTATGAATGCATCAGTTAGACCTCACCACATCAGGGGTTCGACGTAGACCTTTTCTGGCCCTACCCTCCCGGTGAGATGAAACAAAATGACTGAAGTCTATACCACACTGCCCAAGAGAGTTCACACTAGTCGTTGAGAGCACTGTGTATATATGGCGCAGCCGAAGTCTCGTGGGCCTATTGACAACTTTTGTCTCTTTCTGAGCTCTTATCATCAATACTCGTAAGGAACTCCAGACTCGGAAAGCGACCGGGCAGTGTTGAGCGGGGAAGTGGTAACCATCTTGATCTTCACACCACTCCTCTTGGGAAGCGAGATCTGTCGGGAGACAGGCCGACCACTACTGGGAGAGGGGATCATCAGTTTGCCGACACTTAGACTTGGCGCAGAATTGCTCAATGGCACCGAAGCCTTGAAATAAATCCCAGGAAAGCAGTTGCGATTGCCTAGGGCCTCGTTCAGGCCTTAGAAAGATTCTTCTACTCTCGGGATTATCAAAAATAAAACGCGTAAGCTGGATACAGATCTTCACCAAGTCTTCAATGTCATCGCTATTGTCGCAGATATCATCTGGCGTCGGCTGCGATTTCACATAATTCGTAATGTATCGGATTTCGCCCCGTGATGGAAAGGAAGCTCGGCGTTGCTCTGGAAGTGCTGCAAGGCCAAAAAACCTTGCGAGCATCAACCAAAACTGTTCTTCACTAATGAATCTTGACGTAGGGGAAGTAGATCAGATTTGGTTATACCTCCCTTTGAAATTCCACATTGTCTTGTGCATCGGCACCGTGGGTAGTTTGTGCAAGAAGCTGCCGAATCCGCTCACGTTGCTCTGGATCGACGCTTTGAGGCGGTGACGATAACTTCTCGATGTTATATTTTGGTACCAGGTCGAAGTACATTTTTTCCTACCTTGGGCCTGATGCTTGTTTTCAAGAAGCAACGTCAACCCCGGATCGCTCTCGGGCTCATAGTCTTCTAAACAATCTTCATCGCACTGGTAGAGTTGCGGGCCCAGATCATGGAGAGGGACAATGTCAGACGATGGACCATGCATCCATTTCATCGAAGGTTGTTCCCTTTGGAGCCGGGGCAGCCCGGGAGTTTGTAGCTCTGGTTGAAACAAGAATGATGCCGACCCTACGAGTTCGTTTTCCCATCGATGCCGTAGATGAAGTGGATCGTTCCTTTGGTGGCTGTAAGAGCCGGAGGATGTGGCCTGACGGGAGGTCTCTTGTACATAATTTGATCTATACGACAGCGCATCAGTATCATTCAAATGGGTATCTGGCATTGATAGGTCTACTGATCAAGGCCAGCCGATAGAAAATAGTTACTGTGCATGCTGATCGAAGCGTTTCAGCTTAAGACGATGGTCTTGAACCCTCCAATATCTAAATATCTAAATATGGTGCCAACCATCCAAATATTGCAATTTCTTATTTTCAATTTCAGTGCTACACTCTGCTCGGGGAAGCTCATCATGATCTATGATGACACAATGGTACCACCGCCAGTATTATCGGTTCTTTGTAAGCTGGATGATGGCTACTTCGACGCAGTCTCACGGCCGGAAAATCTAAGCAGCAAATTCCTGATTCCAGATTTGATGACTGTATTAGAGTTTTGGAGGTTACACTGTTGTTATAGGCTGATAGCACTCACTCACTGGGTTTGGACTCTTGTCCTGGAAATTCGTTCCGGAGATAAGAATCCTAAAGAACATTAGTGGCTCATCAGAGGAAACGGATTTCAAAAAGGCACGGCTGGCAAGGGTCTCTAACTGGGCGTCGGATTCGGTGGCGGGGCCCACCCAGACGATGAAAGACACCGGAAAACACGTCACTAAAAGCGTATGGATAGATCAAATGATCAAGTATCTGCAGTTTAGACAAGATTTGGATTATTCTGGCTTTCAGAACGGGTATTTACACAGAATCATGGTGGGCTTATTTGGCCGGCTGAAGGGACTCAGATAAAACGCCCAGTCCTAACGAGTCGACACATCTCCATTCTCCAAAGTTTCTCGATCGCTGAGGATTTCATTCATCTAGGAATCAAATGTGCATCACATGCGTGCGATGCCATTACCAGGAACAGCCTTCTATCAAATCCAGGGCACGTGTTTCCAAGTGCTAACACACTGCCTCAGTGATGTCAACACCAAGATTCCGTTTGCCTCTTATAACGTACGTGCCGTGGCGCTTGGAATTACGGTCTACACCCACGGGACGGAGCTGCTTTCCTCATTGTGAGATATATCACTACTTCAATGGCCTTGTATCTTCTTAATCGATCCCTTAAAAGTATTGCCTTGATCGGAGCAGTGGAATCAGTTAAACTTGTGACGTGGTAATAGGCTGCCCACAACGGGTCAAGTTGGAACATCATCACGTAATCTAGTAGTCAAACAATGTCGTAGTTCCCTTTTGGAGGCAATATTAGTCTTGGACAATGATTAGCAAATTCCTTTATCTTTCCTCGGGCTGAATGGTGAGGAGTGGAACCGCGGAGATGGCAAAAAAAATAAAAATAAAAATAAACCAGAAGAAGTCTTGAGATTCGCAATTTCTTGTTACGCTTTTACGGACGCAAATTGTGTTACCTCATCAGTCAACAGCGAAAAGGCAGGTCCACATTTAACTACAATATTGAGTATGATAGAAGGACAAGAAAAATACAGAAAGACGCCCTCTTCTAAGTCGAACTTGTGATCTTATTCCAAGCCAACAATCTCGGCTTCGCCACTGACGAGGTCTCTACATACATTCCATGCTCTATGTCAACGCCATCATCCTTGACAGCCTTGGAATCTAAAAATGACACAATCTTCGACACCGAACTCTAAGCTGATCTTAGCTGCATTTCACTTTTCGTCTGGACCATAGCAGGTGGGTGAGGTGCACAGCGAACACACCAAATCCAACAGAGATTAAAGTAGCCAAAGTCCATATTCTTAGGCCTGCTTGGGTTTCATCCTTGAATGGTGTGAATGCAGTAATGAGTAGAAAACTACCAAGCGGTCAGCAATTGCACTACTCCAGACTTCTAATACTCAATTGTGCTAGCTCACACAGCAAAACAGATGGCCGGCCATTTTAGAACCGCTAAAAGCTCATCATTATTCATAGAAGGGAAATTAATTTGAGAGTCAGCCGGATAGGCTGTCGGATAAATTCTGGGTTGCATGATCAATCTGATGGGCCACAACCGTTGAGCATTCACGGAATCCGTAATCTCGACTGTCGCCAAGTCCTTATATTCTGCCCATAGTGGACCAAACCAGAGTGCTGGGCTTTTGATATAGCTAATATGGATTCTCCATTTTTATCACACCCTTCTACGAAACATTCATTCTTGATAACTGTGCCAATACATTGAGTCCCGAAATGGTACTACAGCCTCACCTGAACTCCCAGACTGATTACTTCTTTGCGAGAATCCAACACGTAGATTTCTACGAAGATTCTGCAGCTAATGCCCACGCCAGGCACCGTCCCGACCGCTACTGCCTTCCATACCTGAGAACTTTGAGATACAATTTACACCCTTTCCACATGATACGCTATACCCTATATGGCTCGAGGTTTCTACAGGGACAAGAATGAAAGTATGAAATGATATAGTTATGTATTCATACATGTTCAAAAATAACCATAGTCCCTTTCCTTGAATAGCTCCCCATTACACCCAGGCGTTGTGAGGAAGGATTGAGGAAGGATTGAGAACGAACGGCTAGGGCCAATTTGGGCGCTGGAAATCTCCAAGAATCGATAATCCTACGTTATCAAACCCTTGGGCTACTGTGAGAGACCTAAATATGTAACAATGTAACAATGGATCACGTCAAGCCAAACAATAGATCAGCGGATGATATGTCGCATAACAAGATAGAAATCAGTAGAAAGAATCAAAAAATTGCGCACACAAGTTTTTGAAATTTAACTAGCCCGGAGACCAAAAGGAAGGCCGGCAGTGGATCAAGACGCATCGCCAGACAAGTTCTATTCTGATTACACAATGTAGTAAGTACGGTCCTTACAGTATTGTAACTAGCGAGGAGCGAGCCTACCGCCTGACGCCCTACGAAGGCCCGACGCTATCAGGTGGCAATCAAAGTAGCAATCACGGGACAAATCTTACTGTTGCGCCTTGCCTATCAGCTTGACCTGTGGCAAAGGCCCGAAAGAGTGTTGCTCTGGGCACCAATATGGAAGGCAATAATGGGCGGCCTTGTAGCATCCTTGCTGTCAAAGGCATTTCCATTAAAATGTTCAGACTTCTGGAACTGAAACCATTTGTGCTTGATACGTGCCTAGTCCACTTGACATTCTTCCCGTAGTGCGACGACTTCCCCAATTTTTCCATAACATAAAAGCTTCACTTCCCGGTTGGTGGCTGTGTCGCCACTGCAGTACTAGATTTCGTATGTAGAGGAATTGAAGGGTATCTGTCGATTTCAGCCCAGAGGTCTTTCAACAATTTGTATTGTCTGCTTCTTGTGCGAAGTGGAATCGCTCATTCGGCATTGTGGAGATGTACTTGAGCATTACCAAATGTATTCGAAGATATTACATCATTTTCACACCGCCAACATGTCAAATGCTCTGTGTATCTCTAGCTTTTGTAAATATTTTTTTTCTCCCTTCTGAAGCTCTGTCCGACCAAAAGGTAGAGAACATATTAGGATGAGTATCATTGACCACAAATTTTCCACGTCGGAGATCCCACATCTACCCCGTGGCTACTTAGAAAGCTGTCTGCTGGGAAGATCTGTATCCGACCGTATAATGGTGTCCAATGAGGTCTCTGTACTCGCGGGCCATCATGCTTGTTCTGTCGGGGATCGAGGCGTGCTGACTATGGATGGCACTTGCCTGCCTCCTTATGATCAAACATCGCAAGAGGAGGAACAGGCCCCCTAGCGTGACCAGACCAGCGACAACGCTTCCGCTCACGACCTTAAGAGTGGCGGAGCCAGTCTTTTGTGACATTCCAGATCCCGCATCCACCAGGAAGCTCGCTGTTGCTGTTTGAATACTAGTTTCCGGATGCACTGGATTGGTTGGTGTACCATCATGTAGGCTTCCCGTGGTTATCGTATACCTGACAGAAGGATCATCTGCGGTGGTAAGCCTCAAAACTCAGGAATGCATCCACAAGGCTGCGAGGATAGCTTGAAACGAGCTCACCTGTCGGTTGCAAGTCCGATGATATCAGAACACCAGTCCCCTGTGGTACCAGGTTGACAGTAGGATTGATGGTGACACTAGATTGATAAGGGGAAGCGGAAGCCTTTACTTCTGCTACTTGTGACGTTCTGTTCTGGGAGTTGAGTTGTGTGACCGACGAAACTGGTTGGACCTTTCCCAAGGCGGCCGAAGGCAATATGATCGATTTTGCGCCCTGTGATAGCCCTGCCAATGTGGTCGGCTGCTTCCCCTGGTGACTTTCATGTTCCGTTGGCAATGCATACTGAATGCTAGGTATTTCCAACCTCATTAACTGGGAGCTAGTTGATTGTGGACGGATAGTATTCGGCAGTGGCAATAGAGCCGATGCGACCCGTAATCCAGTCCATCGACTACTCGAAGTTGAAGGGGGAATTTCATCTGATGGGCTAGATACATGCAACACTGGAGTAGTTATGGGAGCAGTAGTTGCGGTAGGTGACTTTTTATTTTCCCAGATACTGCTTGTAACTGGCGATAGCTTTGGTGATACAAAACCTTCCAACGATCGTGTCAGACGATCTACATTTGGAGAACGGCCAACGGTGAATGTAGGCGCCAAGGGAATTTCATGATGAAAATTGGATTTAGGTTCTGCATGCCCTGTATTACCTTGATGAATAGCATTAGAAGGAATTTTCACGGTCTTTGACGGTCTTGCAGGGTATGACATGTGCCAGATAGACTAACAAAATTCGTGTAAGCCCAGCCCCCTTGCCACAGGGCTTGCTTTTGTATCGATTTGGAAGCGATCAAATTAGGACACCAGTCAAGATACAGAAACCGCTGAAAACCACTCACACCCAATTCAAATCAAGGGATGTTATTTATCCTTTGGCTGACCACTTCTTCCGACCACGACGCCGCCAATGGAAATGAATGTCAAATAAATGTATTGCTTTCCTGCCATTAGTATTTTGCTGTCAGAATTAATACAATTAACCCTTGGCCCATAAATTGTACTACCATTTCCAATTCAGTATTCCAATAATAAAGCCCTTTCCATTGTCTTCAGTCACCACTATTAATAGCCTCACGCCCCGGTGATGTATCTTGCTCAGCAGACCGTCACGTCTCGTAGACAGATAGACAAACACTATCTTAATAGCAACATCCTACAAAATATTGCCCTCTGACCTGTTTCAAAAGTACTCAATATCTGCATGGAAGGATTGATAGAACTTGCCATTAAGTAACTAGAAACTTATGCCTTTTGCCCGAAATGGGCACGTCGTGTATCCACAGGTCCCGATCCACGTCTATCGTGTCAATATAGGTTTATCTGCACTCAGAGGGTGAATTCGCCGGGTGATGAGTGCTTAAAATCATTATCCTGTGTCCTCCTGGACTTAAAAGACCTCATTTGCCTATTAGACCCAGAGCGAGGGATCGCACAAACTTTGAAACGAGAATCCTTTTATAAAAAGAAGCAACGAAAATAAGTTTAGACTACTTGTTTTGGTCATAGGCAGGCGGAGACAAGCTGCACATAGCAGCTTTGTAACCTTGCGCTAGTGTTGCTCGTATTATGCGTGAATTTGCTCACGATCGCGAATGCTGGGGATATTTGCAGATATATTATCTTGAAAAACGATTATTAGAAAGACGAACAGGCAAGATTTACCTGCGCAAAGTCGAAGGCATCCAGGTACCCCATCAACTGGACCACGGCGGCACATACTACTAGTAAGTGAAAAATTGAATGGGAGCCCAGTAGGTCAAATTGGCCGGGATACCGACTTTCAGGGAATCTGGTCTTCAGAGCCACATATATTAAGGTCGATCTTTGTGTTGTGAATGAAATTGGGAGACTTACTGCATAAAACAAAGTTCCCAATAGAAGAAAGCCTGCTTTTGCCAAAGTATAAGGCAAAGCCTTTCTCATCATCTGCGACATGCCGAACATGGTGAGTCCGTGAGTCAAGGGCGCCACACCAGATAAGCCAGTCGCCATGACTATCAATGCTCGTAAGAGGCGATACTTTGGGCCCTGGAATTTGGGACGTGTTGTCATGAAGATGGTTAACATCCCCAAGTCTCCATTGTATTGACGGAGGAAAGAAGGGACTTAGATCCAATGCCAGTCTAAGAAGCGAAAAGGAAACTGTGCAGAGGAGATCAACTCACCATAGACCAGTAGATATTGCGTGGCAGAGGTTCACACCAGAACAACAGGTATATGCCCAAGGTTAGGTCACCCATGATGAATATCACTATACCCAGCATGTCAAATCGCAGGCAGACATGTTCCAGGTGTTGAGAGTGGTTCATCAGAGTGTGGTACGCCGCCGACAAGGATAGGCACGTAACGGCTGTCCACATGAAGATAGAGAAGGCAATGCCATCGGCACCTGTAACCCCGATGTATCTGCTTCCAAGGTACTGCTGGAGATATCGCTCACCAAGGAGGAAGGAGACAGCCGGGATAAGGTGGGAATAGATGTTGACTGTCTCCTTGTGGATATACAACAAACTCAAGAACGAGCGGAGCGCTGAACCTGAGATGGGTCGATACCAGTTGAGAACTCCCTCATTGGTTTAGAGCCATTTCGGCATCTTTTCGATCGAGAGAAGAGCTGAGTGCTCTGCTTCGCCGGTAGTGATTGAGGTGCCGCTGCAGCTTTTGTTTCTCCTGGGGCGTAACTCTAAGACCGGGGCGGATGCCATTTGGTAACATGCTTGATGATAGTACCATGTGGGGTGGCTAACGTAAGTAGGAATGCACTTTGAAGAATTCGGGATCCCGCTTGCTTTTATCGTGCACTGCTGTACATTTCTTCGGTTGTCACTGCTGAGTGCCGGCGCTACATAGAGTCCCACTTGCAGCAATCCGGCACGACACATGTTCCGAGGGCCATGGGTTCTGCTGCATGTTGAGATGGCTTGGATTATCGGAGCTTTCCTAAATTTTACTATCATAGAACGACGCTTGCCTTTTCGCACGTTTCATATCATCTTTTAGCTAGCCTTTGAAGCAAGTGTTTGCCTCCCGTCCTTAGCAGACTACTATTTTTTGGTATCTAGCCCATTCATCACGTCAGTATTCTCTCGATCGAGGGAATTGTGTTGAGCAAGCTGGGTTACGAAGAAGTTTTAATGTGCCCCCGCCTGAGAACTGAGTATTTACTTGTGGCAGCCTGGCTTGTGATATACCCAGTTTTATACCCTATTGCCTTCGCTTTTGGTGAAGTTCTTCAAGTTGGGTAATGGTAGGACCCGCGTATACTCATCGTTCCAGGGACGTCGTCAACCATGTATACCACCAGGCAAGCTGTGCATTTCGTATGAAAATATACCGATCAGAATATGAGATCCGCTTTGATCTGCTTTCGCCAGAAAGATAGCTATGGACAAAGACTTGAACGACCGGTTCTGCTGGGAAACCACAGATGGGTTTAGGTGGTGGCCCTGCATCAAGCTCAGTCTCAGTAGGAATCAATTTTCATTCCCGGCATGCGTACCCATTGACCGCGATCCACTTGAATGATGGCATATCTTAAGGGGAGCTCTGCGTCATTTTTGGCTGATGGATGAGGCGACCAGGTGTCCAAAATTGAGGTGGAAGACAATGCGTCTCACAGGAAATTGTCGAGGAATGGGCTAGCTCTACGGCGGAAGACTCTTGTTGAATACAACCATGATCTGACTATAGAGTGTTTCTTGTCGCCATCACAATTTGAACTCCGACTTCTGTCAACGGGGTCTTCGCCTTCCAGGTCGCCAATGCTGCGGATTTCTGATATTCATTTGGTAGATTTGTCCGATATTAGTTACAAGAGAGGGAAGACGCCACCAGGCCAAGCTAAATGAATGAGTCATTTCCTTTGAACACGAACGTTAGCTTTATCTATGCATGTGTAACAGAGGAACGATGCCTTGCACAGGTCTGAAGTGAGCACAGTACACATGTGTGTCTTCTTCAGATTCCGACAATGCAAGGTATGCTGGGGCTGGGATTACCTGCCCTTTTGTTACTTTGAGCGGGTATCGACTGAGATAATGCCCACAAATAACCTCGCGAAATTCGAGTCGGAGCCAAATCGTCCGCTGGGTTGCTTTACCTGACCAGGACGTCACTTTCACGCCTTGCTTCAGGACCATCGAGTCAGGGGGCTTTGAGATGCACGGCTTAGTCAAGGGTAGCAGGTGATGGAACATCTTTAAAAACTCTACAGATACCAAATTTCGAGCAGCAATTGGCCACTTGAAGCGTAATGCTTTCTACCATCTCATCAAACTATACCGGAAATCTTTGACTAAGGAATGGTAACCGCTTAAAGCATTCATCATGTGTGAACCACAGTCAAAAGGTCGTCAGGATGAATCTATACTACCTGGGCCTTATGGCCAGCCTAGATTGATGAAGCAACGACACCCTCTGGTACTTGCTTATTGATATCACGTGCATGGAGCTACCCCTGTTGGGAGTCTTGTCGGTGTACTTGTTTCGCTTCGGATCCGCTTCTGATTATTGGCTTACATTGCATTCAAAAACTGACGTTTTCTCGAACCTGGAACGACCCTTAATCTTCTTTTCACTATCATCTGTTTTGATGCGCGCTGGAGCTTTGACGATACCCCAAGTGAGTCCGTAATCTCGGGGCTTCCCGTCTACTTGAAGCCCATTTTTGCCAATACGGCAAGGTGAGAATCCAAATCTGTAATAGCGCTGACAGTTGACAAACTCTGATTATTATTGTCCTCAAAAGACTTTCTAGTTGAATATTCCTCATACAGCCTCATGGATCCAAAAAGCAAGCTCTGCTCTAGTGATCATGAGCAGCAGCCATATCCCAGACCAGTCCACGCAAACTTCAAGACTTTATCTACCGACCAAGTGACTAGCGCCGACAGAGTCAGGAGCATGAATAGAAAGCTGCGCCCTCTGCAGCCTCCGGAGCCTCGCAAGAGCCTCCTTCTCCCGCCTTCAGTCTCTGTATCATACCAACTGCAAAGCGCCGCCATAAAGCCAACTGACTCTTCTCGCGTCAATTGGAACCGTCATTTTACCGTCAAGGGAGAAATTCAGGTGCCGAGAGGGCCATACCTGCTGGATACATTAGTGATGGATGGGATCGCCCGTCGATTGGAAGGACCTGTCGTTTTGTCAAGTGTTCTTGAAGTTTCGGCTACAAACTCTGTCTATGTGAATACTGGCTGTGAAAATGGGACTGAACAAACCGAGCACACTCTCCAGATTCCGCTGGAAAATGGTTCATTCCATTATGATCATGTGTCGTTTAATAGGCCACAAAGCGAGACGGATAGTCGTGTTGGTCCAGTTGATTTCTTTATCTGCTTTCGCGTGCTCTGCTTCTTATTCAATGACTGCAAGGTTAGATGCGAGATTGGCCGGGAGGGGCCGTTCCGACTTGAAAGCAATGGAGGCTGCCCATCATCGACCACCGCTGATGGATTAACTTCTCAGGATCAAGAAAATGCGAGGATATTGCCCACCCACCCAGGCGTCTCTCAGCACGTGGACTCTAGGTTATTGACTGCATTCTCACCTAACAACCTGGCTACCAACGTTGTGGTGCAGAAAGGTGAACCTCATAGGGATCTGTCTCAACATGCTTCCGGGCTCATTGATCCTGCACAGCTGTTGCTGAGAATGCCCACCCGTGATGTGGTGAAGGTTTCGGAGGCGAACGGTGATGAAGAAAACTTTCAACATAGCTCGCAACTACTAAGGCCTCGCCCTGGTGCTCCCGTACGACGAAAAGCGGTAAGGGGAAGGAAGGGGAACGAGCCCTATCCTCGAGTCTGTCACTTATGTCCTTTTCCGTCTTGCAGACAGTCCTTCAGAGATCCGAGCCACCTCGGGAGGTAAGCCCATTCCTCAAGTGATATCACCATCAAGAACTATTTATCTGACTTGTCATATAGACACATGCATACCCACGCCTGAACCTAGGTATGCTGCCTTTGGCGACCTAATGGTCATGCCTCTGACAGGGTCGGCCCACCTCATTCTTGCTGGCCTAGTCTTTTCGCGCAATAATACCTACATATTGAAACGCGGCATCCTCAACGTGGATATTTTGATCGAATTACATTCCAGAAGGAAGCGGCCGAGGAAAATAGCACGACGTTCTTTCGGAGCCATTGCTTTATTTTATGACCCAGAGGTGTATTATTTGTCACATTAAGGCAAGACGCAGCGGTTTTCTTCAAGGAACAGAATAATTACTGAAATTCTCGTCTATTTTACGGCTGTCACAAAGTTGAGATTAGCTGTGCCTACCCCTTAGACAACTTTAACTTGGAATTGCGGAACAGTGGCATATTTCACAAATCAAGCATGTGCCATGGACGAACCAGAAAGACGAAGTCTTTCAGAATCTTTCTCAATATCTACACTGGTAAACTAGCGGAGCATCTTGGAATTATATTTTCACCGATTTCTGGACCACAAGCATCAAATTCTTCTCCCAGCACCTCCTCCGCTAACCGCGAGTATCCTTCTTCGGAAAGAGCAGCTCTGACCGGCCGGGCTAATGTAGGGTTCCAAGGACTTATAAGACCACCTTCATAGAGTCACCTTAAAAAATAAACCCTGTCCAATTGATGATTCCTGATAGAGCGAAGGTATAAAGCTCTGGAGCAGATGAGAGTCGGACGCAAGAGGGTTCTCCTCTAGTCGGCAGACAACCTGACCGAACAGCGCGACTTAGATCGGGACGATCCTGCGAACTTGGAAGAGCAAAGTAGAAGATCAACATCTCCAATTCCCGTGACTGGTCGTCCAACCTGCCACATTGGGCAACCATTCTTTAAGGTGGCGCGCTGGCATATGTACAATATTTGAATATCTAATGTAAGGTCAGTTGGATCTAGAAGCGACCGAGTTCTAGCTGATTCAGTGGGTAATTGCCTAAGCTAACAAACTTTCTCGACCTATCCAAGTATGCGGCCAGTTTCTGCGATATCGGTGCTTAATGACACCCAGGAAGGCGTCTCAACTTGGGGGCAACGAAATAATGTGCGCCCTCAGAATTTTCCCTCCTTTTTTGTCTCTTGCTTCCAAAGGCAGGCTCGGACTTACCGTCGCTTGCTCATATGTGATTCTTTATTCAGAAGGACAGTGCTCTTACCTCTTGGCTACGTAACCGAGGACCAGGAGGAAGTTGACGCCGGCCCCACGCGCAGCTCGTAAAAATGATCCTCGAATTTCCAAAGACACACGTCAGCTGTTATTTTTGGAGCAGCAGGCCAACATAGCTTGACCCACCAGATCCTCAACCATAGCACCATTATTAGCACACTGCAGGGCGTGATATGATCAGTCGCAGTTGGAAAGTATTTTTCGATAAATTATCAACCATTCAACGAAAGTTAAGCAAGACCGGATCACTTACTAAATTCCATTTCCTGTGTCGTTCCATGATGTTTTCTATATTTTTCGCGAGTCGGAATACATCTGCGTTCTGGGTTAGCCATTTAATCTTGCATAAGAGGAAGGACTGAGGGAGGATGTGGAGGAAATGCTGTATGGATATCTGGAAGAAATGCCACGGGGCGTAGCACAAAGATGCACTTCGATGATGGCGTCCATTTCACAAGCTGTGGTGGCGTAATCGTCCTTGGGAAAGACATATTCATCCTTGCATCGGTATTCTCCGGCAAAACAGATTCGCCTTTTACATCCAGGATAATTCCTCGGTACTGCGAAATAGTCGTATGGCACCCATATGTGACTCGGATCGTTCACTCTCGATATGTCCCAATAAACTTTGCCGTCGATTAGACTTAATGTGCTCTCCCACTGCACCTGATCTGTACCATGTTCAAGATCAGTATCGTTTTTGGCCATTTTCACCGACATCCCACTTCCGTCTTCTTTGTTCTGAAATTCTATTGAGACTATTTGGTTAGGTGTCAGCAAATTTATTGGCGTGTTGGTCCCTAGAGTAGTCATGTAATGGATGGCGAAATTGCAATGATTATGAAACATCCACGATCCAGCTGATGCGAGCGTTTCGCTTGGCACAAGTAATAGAAGGCTGAAGACGCTGGGTGAGAGCCACATCATCACTATGAACCGTGAAACCTGTTCAGCGATAGGGTCATAGTGGTACTGGTATACTTTTTATATTCTACGACTCGGGTAATTCTAATGAGGTCAAGAACGGCCGAATGCCTTATTTGCAGCGAACAGATGACTTGGTTGAGTAATGGCGTATGCAGATTTGGTCCGCAAAGCCAGGTGTCCAAATTTGATACTGGCCCTGGGCAAACATTGTCGGATCTGGCGTCTAATCCCGACCGGGAGATTTGGCAAATACGGACCAAGCGGCTCAGAGTTTGACGGGACGCCGAGATTCGTTAAGAACCTTGCTATGGAAGGTGTTAAATTATCGCATCCACGCTCGTAATGAAATGCAAATAGTGTGTAGCAGATGCGAGGTCCTCTTTAGGATATGGAGTCTCTAACTTAGCTATTGCTTACCTTGATTACACTAAGAATATGTCTACTTTCGTGTTCGCAAATTTAGTCTAGATATGTTCCGGACCTCCACAGGTAAAAAAACTAAAAACTGTACGGTCATGTTCTGTCTAAGAATAGCCCCCGCCTCAGGGCTCAAACCACCATGCTGTGCTGTCATTCGCTCATACTCCTCCCACATAACAATACCGCAAGAAACATTGTTGGCTGCGTGAAATAATTGTTCATATGATACTGCCGGGTGATGGAGGATTGGATGATTTCACCTACGCTGACCCTATCGTGGTGGACCACGTAGAGGCTCTATGTATAGTCGTCGTAGGAGTGTCACCCCACCCGGGCGGTGGAATCGGAGTGTTTGTACCGAGCGAGGGAGTCGGCGCGCAGGTCTGAGCGTGAAGACCTGGGGTCAGACTGCTGAGGCCAGCACTCCGAAGGGAGTCAATTGGCCTTGACGGAAGCGTCCCGACTATGGATGGTCAGAGAAATCCGCAGATACACGGGCTCTAGGGAGAAGTGGTAGATGCATACCGTAAGAGTTGAAGTTGTAAAGCCCGCAGACACAGCCATCAATAATCGGTAGCAGACTGACACCAGATTGGAGAACTTGGCCATTCCGGCTGATTGAGAATGCCTGCGATCCGGCGCCCATGGGAACAGTAAAGGCACTTGCTCCGGCTGGCGCATCAAAGACATGGACATTACCGCCAGTATTGACTGTGACAGTGGCGGGTTCAGTGAGAGTTGTGACGATAAAGATCGCGTCTTCCATGGTCTCCCAGCCATCTGGACGGCCGTAGAAGTAATTGCCGCTTCCGTTGTTGGCCGGGATCATGCAGGTATCGGTCATATCGCAGTTGACGCCCCGAGGCGCAGGTCTATACCAATAGACGAGCAAATCCTCAGTGATATAGCTATCAACTGAAGTAGCGCCATCCTTGTATGCGGCAATGAATGGCTTGGCCATGTCCATCCACCCATCGTGAGGCCTATGTATGTTAGGGTGAACAGAGATACAATGCAAGAGGAACGTACATGTCATTTACCCATTTAGATGCGCCATCATCTGCGTGAGAAGAGCTGAGAGGACCAATATAGTGAGACTCGCCGTAGTCATTCCAGGTGACAATTTCAATGAACCGCGGCCCCATGGCGAGGATCCGCTTCCAGCGATCGTACCAGAGCAAGTCGCCCGGGAAGACCCAGTTCTTGCTGTACGGGACCTCGGAGCCAAAATGGGTGAAGAACCAGGGCGAGACCGCTAGACAGGTTAGAAGTACTTCTGGCTGGAGATATGTCCGTGGTCTTACGAGCGATGTAGGCCTTTCCATCGAGGGCCTTGATGTACGCCTCATCGCCCTGCTCAACACTCACGTTACGCCCCGGCTTCGGAGCTTTATTATTGCCATCATTGGGCCACGCCATCCAGTTGAGCAGACCGTCCACACCATCCATGTTGGTGCCCATCTCGGGATGAAAGTTGGGGGCAAAGAAGACGGGCTGACCGGCAGCGGAGCGCATCACGTTGATATCCAGGCCATCGCCAGCGAATGAAGAGACAAAGACCTTGCCGTCGACCTTCAGCTGCGCGGGCAGGCTGGCGTACTGCGCAATCTTCTGGCCCAGCTGGTATCCCTGCTCAGTGTTGTACCAATTGAAGTCGAAGGAAATGAACACCTTCATGCCATTATTGGCCGCAGACTGGTAGGCTAGGTCCAGCTGCCGGTCCGTGTCGGGATCAACACCAATGTTCAGGGCAAAAGCATCAATACCGAGGGATTTGGCACGTTTCATGTCATCGTCGTAATCCGCAACCGAGTTGCGGCTGCTGGTGAGTCCGATCTATGTTGATCGTTAGACATCCTCGACGGTCCGATCGTAGGGTCGAGGAATTACAGTACGATAAAATGTGTGAAGACCAGCCGATCAGTGGATTGCCTGGCCTTGTTGAATGAACCGTGGGAAGCATGAACGAGTAAGGTGAGGGAGCACAATGCTCCCCAAAGGGTATTTAGATGCATCTCAACCAAATGACTGTTGCTTTGTTGGCCCTATGAGCACATCGGGCGTGAATTCTGAATCCGCAACCGTCTTGAATAGTTTCCCTCCGTGGTTTTGCTCGGTCAACACTATATACCCTTAAGTGTCTTTATTTTCGTGCAAGCATGGAGGGATTTCATTGGGCCCCATTTCCGCCCATAGTAGCGTTTTCGCCATTCCCTAGACAGCAAATAGGCAATTCTACAGTAGGCCGCGCCCCACAGCGAACTACGCTTCCCGCATTACGGCACAATCTGGCCCCTGCAGGGACAGGTACCCTAGTAGTTCTAGCAAGGGTTGATACAAAATGCGGCGAACAGTGCTGGTAGACTCGGGAAGAAAACAAACGGCCGATTCAGCATAGGTGAAGCACCTCCACCATTACATGTCTTTGCGCAGTCGTTTACGAAGAGACAGTCGCGTGATATCAGCAAATGGTTTCGGGTGGGAGGAGGATTGCGTATCCAAATTGCAGTGCACATGCACAGGAATCCGTCAGTGCAGGTTCACAAATGACAATGTAATTCATTATTTGTCAAAGGGTGCCCAGTCTCTGGTGTGACTAAACTAAGTCCGGTTGCTATCGTTGAGCGTTCGCCACCGAGCGCCTTCCACTCACCAAGATGGACCTCTACCCGCAGGTGTGATTTCATCCAGCTTTGACTTTCAGGATCACACCTCAAAGAGTTGCTACTCATGGTAATCGTGATACCAGCGAAACGGCGGCAGTGGGGAGAAGCAATGTTGATTTAGAACGAGTAAACCGCGGGAAAACTGGGGTTCCCACCTGGCAGGCAACCCGAGTAAGATAGAGGGAAAAGGAGAGCGCCAGCGATCACGATTAGACGGCGTTCAATTCAGGGGCGCTCATTGCGGCCGGAGAATTTTTCGCTCGACTTCCCATTCGAAATAAAATTTATCCTCATGTGGAAACATATCTATGCGGTGCCAAAGTAAGGAAGTGTGCCGGTTGGTGTAAACTACAATGCTGCATGAGAACTTGTCCCTTGAGGTGGGTTCAAGCACTTCGTGCCGGTATAGCGAATGGCATGACTGGTACGGGGGATGTAATACTACTGATTGCCGTGATGGGGACCAACTACTGTAAGAGCATCGTAAACAAAAGAATGGCGGGAAAATCATAACTATCATGGGGATCTGTCAGGCGGTAAGTTACCGCTTCACTTGACTTGTTATCTGTGCCCTACGCAACGGTCGCAGATACATAGACATCTAAATTTAACTACGAAAAATTCGAATGGTATTATCTGGTCGCTGGGTGGTTTAGCGAAATCAGTAAATGGCTCAGCATAACATTAATCCAAGAATTCAAACGATGAGGGATGGCGCTAAAGACACCACTCCATAAGATGCCGTCGCCATTTTTGGATAATTCCAGATAAAATACAACTGATTGCCGTGACAAATTAAGGTATAAGACGTCAGCCAGTCGCTCATGGTGTAACTTTGTCCATCACGACGTAGCGAATACATCATGCCCAAGTTGTGCGAATTTCGCAGTAAAATATCGCTCGGGTTGTATAGCCCACGGCCGACTCGCTATTGCAGGGTCCGGGATGCATTTGAGATGAGTATTCATGGTCTGTCACCATCGCAGGTCGCCGAGTTGGCGGTTACTACAATGGAAACGAAGAGTGACAACCGCCTATTGCAGGAATGGATCGCTACGAACGGAAGACATTTACCAATCAACGCAGAGAAAAAAGAAGTATCCATTGATCTGGAAGAAGATGGTGTAGAGAGTAAGGGAAGTTTCAACCTAGGTCCCCTGCCCCGCACTCCAAGGATGGAGCCCGTGTATTATAGGAATTCCAGACAGTTAAGGGTTAGGGGCGAAGGACCACCAAATGGAGAACAACTAGGCTCACGGCCTGCAGCTCGCAGTTATGAGAAATCCAGACAGTTAAGGGTTAGGGACGAAGGACCACCAAACGGAGAACAACTGGGCTCACGGCCTGCAGCTCGCAGGTATGAGAAATTCAGACAGTCAGGGACTGAGGACGAAGGACCAGGAACCGGACAACTATTGGACTTACGGCCTGCAGCTAGAGATCCCGAGCAGTATATATACAGAAAGCTTTTCTTGCTCCAGCGCCTCCTGGATGATTATTTGAAGTCATTCAAAAAGAAGAGGCGAAGACTGAGTCGCCGCCAGGACACAGCGTGGCTTATCTGCCTACATGGTATGGTCGCAACTTTGGAATCTTTCAGATCATGCACGGTTTCCGAACATACGCAGACACATTGCTACACTGTTCTGAACGGACTCAACGTACAAACGAATGCAATAATTGAGCGACGAATGAGATGACCCCTGGATTCCCAAGCTAGATGTATCTTTACTCAGAACTTGGATGGAAAGACGAGGGGGAGTGTATCGCAAGTTCAAGGCCTTCAGCGACTTCTTTGCAATGCTCCATATGAGTGCACGTTATACATCTAGCTAAATTCAAACGACCATACATTCCTTCCAACGCAGATTTGGTACTGTACTCAATGAAGAAACTTATGGGGCTGAGATCCTGAGGGAACAATTATTTAGATAGGATATTGACTAGCATGAATCAATCAAAATCAATACAATCAAATACAAAATATCATTGGCACGTGTTACGACACTGTACCAAATATACACCGAACGCACCTGTTTTTGTCTTACGCAATGCTGTCAAAACCGGCCTGCTGGTCATTCTCTGGCGGATGAAAATCCTGGCGGTTGACGAGATGGGACGCGCACTTAACAAAAACTTCCCATCGTAGCTTTGCCTGAGAATCCAGAAAATCGTTGTGGGCCAGCACTTGACATGTGATTTATATCGTGTCGTAACAAGGTAACCATCGTTTCTTTGGATGTCCTCCATGACAGATAATCGGTAATGGTTAGCGGGATCGTACACACTTGGAGAGATGCCGTCCGGGCTTTTCAGCCGATTCTTGTTCATCCACCATAAGAGCGCAATCAGTATGAGAAACAGAAATCCGCCCAACCTGTTCCGACAGTCGCACCAATAGGACTTGATCGAAAACCATGTGATTTTGCGGAGCCGGCCTCATTAGGAATGATTTCTTTCACATTTTGCAGGTGCAAATCCGATCTCGATCCGTATTCGCCAAATTTGGAGTGCGAATGGCGCTAGAGAAGAACTCGTCAGAAATGGAATTGATTCCACTAACCACCTTTTAATTTAGTAGCTCTTATGCCTGGTTCATTTTTAGCCGGTACGGGGGTCAGAAGAGGCCAAGAGCGCGCCGTCGATCTTGTATGTTTGCCACTCTGAAAGAAAATCCGACCTGACCCTGCCCTTCGAACACTGCCCCACGGTTGCATAAAATCCAGGACCTTGACAATGGAAGGTCTCGTGAAATGGCAGTTAGCAGGTGTTTGCGACATTTACAGCAAATGTTCCGACCAGCTTTACCCCTATTCTGTCAAAGCGACAGTATTTTATCAAGGCATGGAGATTGGCGCAGAAGTGGAAAATGAGTCCATTTATTTTGAGAACGAAGAGTGTGGAACGATTGCCGCCTTTATGAGTCAATCATCCCGCACGAGATTCTGTGCAAGTCCTGGGAATTTCATAATAGTGTCTGCCCTTCTCACTGAGGAAGTCGTCAAACTCTTCATCCCCATGCGATACGAAGAATTCGAGTCGGCTAGCAAGCAACAGCAAATTCCACTAGCGAAGAAAAGTATGAAAATTGATTTCAAAACCCGAGACATGACACGATCTTCCAAATTGAGCTGGGGAATCCAAAAACCTCGGTTGCGAATAAAAAAATCGCGCTTTTCAAGAATTTCGGACCAACGAGCGAAACAAGGGGAATATCACGAAATACTCACTCCAATTCGTCGATCAAGAAGGATCGCGAAACGAGGATAATATAGAGAAAGCGACCGACATCAAGAGGCTTAGCGTAGAGAAACAAGTACCAACTCAGTACTATTTTATCCCCAAACAGATCCCCTCCAGGTTTGAACTTTGGACAATTCGATAGGTGATATAGGAACGGGATACTGTAACAGAGAAAATTAAATACTTGAATTGAGCCAGTCTTCGTTCATGGTGAGGGTAATCTCAACGGGGATCAGATCGTACCGTGGCGGCACTGGGCCCTATCTGTCCACTTTCCCCACAAGCTGCTTCCTTCATGTTGACAACGCATTTAGGATCGACCATCGTGATCCTGAATGGTCTAAGCGGCCTCGGAAGATCAACTACGGCATCCAATATGGGTACCACGATGCCCTTTTGAAAGCTGGAAGGGAAATCACATACCTACCGCATCATGTTATTTGAATCGTGTGCCTGCTAGCAAATAACTTCATTCAACTTGGGCCTCTCCGTCAATACGCTAAAGGCAGGTACGGGCGGCCACTGCTTTCTGTTGGGTGGGGCGAGATGATCAGCAATAGACTCTCAATCAGGAGGACGAGCGCTACGGAGTAGTGCACCTGAATTGGCTGATCATGCGCATACGAAGAACAAAACATTTCCTTCTTGACCAGTACGCCCTAAAACGCATCCTGGGTCTCGTTCATTCGAGTCTAATAAAAACAATTGGAGCAACATATGTGCTTTTCAAACGAAGGCAAGGCTCTGTCTCCTTCCTGCTGTATTTCATCGCTCTGATGGTCACCGCGAAGCCATATTTGGCCGGGCTAGCTAGTTTATTTCGGAACTATCTTAGTGAGCTCCCCCACTGGCACCAGCTAACGATACTGCAGATCGACTCGCCAAAGAAGCCGCGCAACCTGGTAAAACCCACCCCTTTCGACCGCTACTATCGAGGGAGAACGCGTTTGTCCGCAGCAGAATCCAAGCCCAGTGGGGACAAGTGTGGAGGACAAGCACCAAAGGTGCTCACCTGCGAAAGATAGACGGTGGCCTACCAGCGCGGTACACGAGAAAGCTCTAGGGAAATCTAGCTAGGAATCGCGCCTACCTGCTGACGCAGCTACGCACGGGTCACAACTGGTTATCCACCTACGCGAAAAAATTCGGCTTCCGGGAGGATGATCTATGTGAATGTGGTGTACAGGAGACTGTCGCCCACGTGCTGATGGAATGCCCGAGGCTCCGAGAGCTGAGGGTAGAACTGAGACGGAAAACTGGGGATACGCTGAGCGGCGTGTCGAGCCTGCTGGGAGGCTCAAACGAAGGTGAGAAAGGTAAACCAGACATCGTCTCGAAGACCAAGACGCTTCGGGCCGTATTGGACTTCGCTGAGGCGTCACAGCGGTTTCGAAGTCGTGCGCCATAAGGGCAGCCTAACAATGGGAGCGGCAATGGGCCACGATAGGCCGTGACGAGGCTCTAAGTTTATGTCAGGAAGTGGATCATTGCAAATGTACACACTCAGATATATAGTCGTTGTATACTGCATATCGCTTTGGCAGTTGGATCCCAGATTAGATGATGTATAGATGTTATGGTGGCAGCCTATTAGGCTGCCACAAACACCACTCTAGGCAGAAGGCAGCTACTGTGACTACAAATAGCTGCGCCTATTCGCATAGTTAGAGAATGATCATCACACTTGTACCTCAATTCAGGGTCTCAACTTTGGCGAGGGGTCAGTGTAAATGAATATTACTACTACTACTACTACTACTACTACTACCACTGTAGACGTCGAATTGTTCAATCCCGCTGGTCAATTCTGCGTGCCATATTTGGCCAATTTCTGAGTGTTGACAACAAGGTTCCAAATATAGATTTTTGAGGGGCCCCAACTATTTACTGGGTTTCCTCCCTGGCGGCTAAGAGCCAGATTCACTTCACAGGTAACGAATATGTGAGGTACATAAATTTCTTCATCGCAATTGAACGTGAATTGGTCGACGAAGACTATTTTTGTAAGTAGAAAATATAACTACTAAATATGCTGACTCTGGAATTACACGTGATAAGACGTCCGGCATATATAGTCTACCAGAAGGTGAAAAGCATTTCGAGAAATTTTAACTCCTCTTGCGGATGCATAAGTACGACCTTGATCTAAATTTGCAGCTACCTGGCGGAGGCGAAGAGAATAAATTATTAGATAAGCATGGACGACACATTGTATGTGCTTTGTTCTGTGCTGCCTTCGTGCCTGTCATATTTCCTCTTATGAGAGAATTTGACAGGTCTCTTGTGCCTCGGGCTTTTGTTGCAATCTCATTGTTCACGGCAACACTGCCTACGGTTGTGCTTTATGCTCAGCGCATTCAAGAACACAGAGGTATGAGTGCACAGATGCTGCGTCAAGTGTCCTTTTCATTCCTTGTCTTGGCAGCTGTAGAACTTTTTGTTGGGATGGTGTGCTCATACTATGGGGCTCCTCCAGGCGACCCACAGACAGGGTTCATTTACATTTTATGTGGATGTTACGTATTTTCGAGTGTTATCTATTTCTTGATCTCACTAGAAGACTGAAAGATATGAACCATCCGTTCCCTCATATATCCTAGCCTTTTCTTTACCTGTCATTTGCGGTGCGTAAGGCTCGTTGGTGACGACGAGGCTCTCAAAACAAGCCTGATGTAGGATATTTGTGGTAGATTCAGCTTCTGCGCTTATATCGGAAGAATTTTCACATTGAAAGTTTTCCATGATTAAGACATATATAAGTAATCGGCTACACTGGTACATCCAACGCTGTAATTGTATGGCAGACTCCTGGAATTGCATTGTGCTCGGCTTACAGAAAAGAATGAATAATTGGCCGATAGATTTGGGCGAGCCTGTGATACGTCTAACTCCGCTTGCCATGGTTCCCCCTTCCAGAGCGCTCCCTTCCTATTTTGATCCTAGGATATGTCAACAGAGTGACAAGCCTATCACGAGAGTTGACAAGATCCATACGGTGATGGCCACTTATAATAGCCTCGCTAGAGCATCCAGTATGGGATGACAGCGCAGCGACTGATACTCTTTGGATGCTAGACAATGAAATGTCGTGAGCCTATAAGTTATTAGCGAGCACATGCCTGTCGGAGATGCCTCAAATTCACTTACCGGCCGCTGCGCCTTGTCGCATCAAAGTAAATATCTGGCGGAGCAAGAATGCTCCCACGAGGCCGACGCATATTTGGTATACTAGGTATACTATTGCCATTGAGTTATTAAAATCCTCCGTAAGGTCGAGATCACCGTCGTCGATTAGGGTAGCAATTGTATTAGATCAAATGATTTTAGCCAGGGACAGGGCAGATCCAATGTATTTATGTGCTGGAAGGTTCTCCACATTCATTCAAGCTTGCTTGGTATTGATTGCACCATGAAACGTGCCCGTCAGAATAAGCTAATGTATCTGTTGCAATAAATTCTTGGACAGATAGTCTCGAGGGTTCAACGAATACCATTCTATGAATTGCTTTTGGTAAAGTGACCCAGTAAATGCGATACTGAATACAGGTGATACGTATTGGAAGCAGCGCTCCTTTGGCCCCGCCAAAATAATAAGACGTTTCGCTCAGCAGTAACATCCGAAAATGAAAAATCTGCTGTTAGGATGGAAGAAAGATCCATCAAGTCGTGACTAGGCCTCGTCTCAATACTCGAGATCATATATGGAAATATTTCAACAAGTTTGATGAGACTGTCCAGGCGACAGGACATCCAAATCTAGGCAAGGCGTCGGTGAGCCATTAGCATATCCACTACGCAGTAATTTCTCACCTCATTTCGACCAGATCAATTATAGGAGTTAAAGGGGTGTGGAGCTTTCAACATACGTCCCGGCAAAACGATCCCTCCCCAGCATAAGGCTCTCCATTTTTGACTAACAAAAGTGAGCATCGCATTTGATATAAATCCGATATCCTGAGCTGAGTGGAAAGGATCAATCCTATATCTTGCGAATTCATTATGAGAACATCAATACAAGAAATGGACGCACAAATTCAGCATCTACGTGCTCAGATATATATCATGCATAACACAGTTGCACTGTTGAATTCTCACCTTGAGCACCTGGAAGGCATAGAAAATTTTTGGATCCGAATGCGGGGGCTCTCCTCTCGTGTCAGTGGAACAAAGTTTGTTCACGCGGGAACAAATTGATGAGTCAACTCATCATACAAGGACGCCTCGAATTGACTTAAAACCCATTCAAGATTTTGTGCTCTGTCGTTTACAGCTTGCTTCAGAATAACACTCAACAGTAGACCCCAATCGACAATACCTGTCGTCGATGGAACACTGACGAGCCTTGTAATATGGGAGATTTATGAGCCATGATGCGACGAGAATGCGTTTTGTGTTTTCTTGGACAATTCCGATTGAGATATAGAAAAGGCTGGAACAATGGGGACGGATCATTCTTGAAGATCTTGATTACAGCCTCCATACGTCTAATTAATTTGAGGGGACTAGCAAGTGACAGAGACAATCAGATTTCATGTAAAGCAGAACGGGGAATGTCTCAATTGTACATTTGCAACCTCCTCGGTCTAGATCCAGGCTCACGCTGTTTACCCTACCATACAAACACTTAATTGGTATATTTTCTATGTGCTTGAGATCTGGATGCGCTCGTCCAAAATATCATCCGTTTTCACGAGCTTTTAAATTCATATCTTTACCGCTCCCACGTGCGATGACATGTCAGCAGAGATTGGCATTGCCGTGGACTGCATGGTCCCTTAATATAAATGCGGCACTGGTATTAACGACAAAGCTTGGGGAATTACTGCCGACAGAACCTGTTGCCGATCCTAACTTGAGAGATTATGCCGGACAAGCTGCGCTTTCGCATGCAGTACAAGCCGGGAAGTTAACAGTCACTGAACCACTGCTTAATGACAATCATTAACTGAGCCGGAGTTTTCTAATTATAGTAGCCTAACTCCACTATCTAACGCTAGGGCAGTGGCAGGTCCGTTCACAACGACAGCTGAATTCAGTCCTGATCATCCAAGTAAATAGAAGCGCACGCCTGTGTCATACACGTCCGGAAAAAGGACGGCTATTAGTGTCTTGGTCTCTGATCACTCTGAATTTGTTCTGCTTGACTCAAAAAATATCTTTTGCATCCCGACCGGAGTATGAAACGGTAGTCATAAGGCTAGTTTAGACAAGTAAGTAGCGCCAAATTGAGACGAGTCGGTGTAACAAGCGCTGCACGTGAAATGAAAGAACCGGCCAGGCACCAAAAGCCTGCGGTAGGGAGAAGAGACCAATGATGAATACTATTTGACCACAACTCTCCCATCACGACTACCTGTGTGATCTGCTCAATACCGTGTCGAGAACACAACGACATCAGGTAGAATTTTTGAATGAATGACTCAACAGTAATTAATCATCACACGCAGACCAACGGGGAGATTTTTCCTTCCCAGATTCCTCGAGAAAAGAATCCACAATTTGTAATTGTGGATTCTGCAGATACGGAGACTTGTCATGGAATTTGAACGGACGATGACCGTTCAACCCAGGATTACAATCCAAATCCAGCGGTAAATTATAGTTCAACAGTTAATTCTACCGATCTGAGTGACGTCGCACGGTCACTAATGGTTGATAGAACTAGTGTAGCCACCTGTCCTATAAGAGGTCAGACAGATACTCAACACTTATCCATTAACCACCTTCATTTTAAAGCTAGTACAATGACTTCATCTGCATCGGCGCATCCTAACACCAAATATTTAAAAATCAATGCCGTACTCAATCCTGCCCGAGATTGGCCCCAGAAACCCACAACGGACCTTGAATGGCCTTCTGGCATGCACAAGCAGCTATCCCATGTCCATACATTCCACAAAACCCAGCGAACTTCTGAAGGAGTCCCATCCTTTTCTGCCCGTGTGGAGCATCGGAACACGCGCCGCTCGCTACGTGACACTTCGTTCTCAGCGTATCGAAAATACTTAGACGAGGAGGTTATGTTCATCACGTATCACCGGCAATATCTCTCCCTTGACTGGGATGAGGTGCTACGTCGTTTTAATCAACGCTTTACAAGTCGACGTCGACCTGGTTTCAAAGGAATTCAATCTGTTTTCTATCGTTACCGAAGGCGACAGATTAAGAACCATCCTTGATCCAGAACAAACAATTTGTGCTGGAAGAAGAGGGGGGCTCTGATACCCGGAAAACCAGGTTATGGCAGCCCAAATTCACGTAGCCCACTCAAGCAACCAAGCTACCGTTTTGCTCAATGTATGTATCGACCAGAGCGTGACGTAGTCAAGGGTCTGTTACTCTGTGACGCGATACTTCAAATGACGCCTTATTGTTGGAAAACAACAATAGACATTCTCCCGATGTTAACTGGTCATATCATTCTACACAACATATGGAACGATCTATCTTTGGTGCCTATTTTTGCCTTTCATCTGTGTGGTAGTGTAAATTTCATGCGGGTTTCTAGGCACAATTAGCACAATGATTCCTTTCCTTTCTTACTCAAGTATCCCCAAACTTCTAAATGATGGATTTGGTGGATTGGAAGGTCAACATTGACCGCAGTCTGATAGCCGCTACGTTGCTTTTGAGCAGCAGCCTAATATCACAAAATTCAAGTCGGGGGTTAGGTTGGGTCATCTTTTAGCCATATCGCTAGGATTGTTGTAAGAACAATACAGCCCAATAAAATTAATTCCCCCTCAAAACAGTACTGAATATGAAGGGATAATGAGGATATCAGGTAGTGAAATTCTCTATCACACCCGTTGACGTTATTCTCTGTCAAACGATCGACCCAGAACACATGGCAAGTACGATGGTTCTACAACATGACACCTTACGGACCATGCCCATTAAGCGTAAGTGTCATGAAACTATGTGACTGTGTTGGTATACTCTCAGTATTTACAGAGAGATACACATGTAAATTTAGCTTTTGACAGTAAGCCGTTGAGCAAATATTTGGGGTGGGGGGACAATTCTACAACAAGGGTATGCAAATGGATATCTGAATATGTGCAATTGAACTCATCTGTCATTAGGATTGAAGTCTTCTAGCAGCCCTAAGAGATAATGATCTTGTACAAGCATTTTTCAATCTTCACGCGGTAGAATTTGGTATCAGCGCTTGGTCTTGGTATGACATGCGAACTTGGCCCTGATCCAGCTTGTTTACAGGGTCCACTTTCGGTTGCGGAGACCAAAAATCCAACATCGAAATTAGGACCTGCCCAAACGAGTTTTGTGAACAGCATTTTCGATGATGTCTCACTGTCATGTTCGTGAGGAGCCCCGTTCTCTGCGAATCACTTTTTCCAAAGACGAATTAGGCGCATTCGGCCCCCACAAAGATTCCCAACTGAAATCAATGAATCAGGTCTGCATTTGTAGATGTCAAAGAGGAGCAGATAGAGAAAGTCGAATTCATCAAACCGAATGATCTTACTATAAAGATCATCCCACTTGCCAGTATTTAGGCCGCGACGGACATCGAGGAAAGTGTAACCTGAAAGAGTATCTGGCACATCCGGCATGGAACAAAGAGCACTCAGCATTGAGTGTTCAAGTGGAATAGGGGCCAAAGCAAGTGCCAGGCTTTCGTTCTTTTCCATAGTGGCTGGATCCGAAAGTACCATCTTGAGCGTGAACGGAGTGCGCGAGGAAAAATGATATCCAATGCGCCGCCGCCCTTGGGATTGCGCCACTTGTGAGAAGCATAAGGAGACCTTTGAAACTCTAACCAAAGATCTTGGTGCCAGGTAGCAAAGAATTAGCTCCCATAACTGTAGAATATAGTGTAAGCGAGATCACAAACCATCCGGGAGGTGCCAAACTCACCTCAGGTGGAAAAATACCCAAACACATTATGCGGAGGCCTGTTGTCAATGCCGCATGAAATGTGACGGCAGTAGATTTGCCTTCCTTTTTGCTGGGTAACTTGAGTCGCCAGAAAATTTTGCGATTTCACTTTTGCAGGGCTCGGCCTAACCTATAAATATTTTGCCCCAGGGATGATAATATTGGGGTCTTGCAAGGCTTTTATGACAGGTAGATCCCACTCAGAGTCACCTGACCGATTTCTCAGTGGATGGAAGCTGCTGTGAATGATACACTACTGAGTCGCTGTCAGAAGTAACCTATCATAGGAGATGCCGGTAGGATGAAGACAGGGAGCAGATTGGCGTTGCTTTTTGCAGTCTCTTCATACTAACGAACCTGCTGAATGGTGCAGGGAAGACTTTTGAGCGCTTCCTGTGGAGGCATGCCAGTCATGTCTAAATTCTATCACCTCGATATCGTGGAATTGTGGGTCCGGTAAATGGCACTACATAAGAATTTGGTGAAAAATACATAAAATATACATTCGCATCTATACCATCGTCTAGTAGTGTCACATTCAAAGCATTCACTCAAGCGTGTTCGTATGAAGAGATGTGGCCGTGCCGTTTCATTCCTTCTGACTTTGATTTGCTTCAGCTTTAATTTAAATCAAGGCCAACCTATACTGTCCCTATTTGATATCTTTTTATTTTTCATGAGTTTATCTCCTTCCTGGAAGACTTTCCAGAGTCAGGATGATGATGATACCCTACGGAATGATGAATTGGGACTTGAGAGTAGCTTTATCAATGTCGAATCATTTTGAGTCAGTACGAGTCAATGATCTTTCTACCTTGTCTAGCACCGCAGTGCAGCTCTTCGTAAAACGATCCAGCGTTGTCTATGCGCAATTCGTTGAACTCATGTCATGACAAGTATTGATGACAATGGTCATATCCATGGGCTAGATCTTCAGATCTTGATTTGTTCCCTTGATATGGCAAGGAACACATGTCTGTGGACTTGGGTAGTATGTTTGGGGGTGGTGTGTGCTTGGGTGGTGTATGTTTGGGTGGTGAATGTTTGTCAAATCTGGGTGGTAGTTCTGCGACAACAACAAAGCTGAAAACTCCCGCGCGCAAGTGATATGTCGTTGCGAATCCTGCCTGCAACTCTTGCAGAGCATATTTCGTGTTGCTGAGCGGACAACCCGCTCGAGGGAATCGGTTGAGTTCCGTCTTTGAATCATTAACACAATGGCAGCGTTGGTCCGAAACGATTTTGGGACACTGTTGTCACATTGCGCCCAAATACATTCAGTGCGGTGTAAAGGGTCGCCAAAGACCCGGCCGAATGAGTATTGAAGGCAATTGAGATCTCGAGTCATTTTGTCCACGGATGAAGGATGAAGAAAGTTGGACGAGTAGAGAGGGAATTGAATGGAAAATAACGGCTATTTGTTTTCACGTGGTTATTGGACCGCGTAACCCGCATTGGAAAATAATCCCGATAAACAATCTTGATAAAGTGAGAGTTGCAAGTAATTTTTCCATTTGTCTTGCTTGGCTGAGAAAATATGTACTTGGTTCGCCCAAAGTGAGTTGGGCGACACAAGATTACCAAGTCTTACAGCCTGTGTAGCCAGATGAACTGTTAAGATCGTATACATGTGACGCGGATAATGCAGAATCTGAGCCGATCAACAAGCTCGATTTTCGAGTCTTTTGAAACCCACACAAAGACTGCTATATTCTTTCCAAAACAATTAGTATATCCCTTTTATTCTAATCAATCAAGATCTACATCCCTGATGAGACTCAATGTTAATAAGGGACTACGAGGACTCTTAGAGAAAATCTGCTGGAAACCGGTTACTGCATCCAAAATTGAAGTGTTGCAGTGATTTACTGATAGTTCTTTTAATCATAAGGAGTCGTGGCTATCATTGTTTGACCATCTGGGGAATTCTCTAAGTTAGGTAAGGTTCAGTTCCAGCCGTGGAGTGTAAGAAACGCCCGTGGCTGGCTGTTGATGGCATTAAAGGGGCGCTGGAGCTCATGAACGGAGTTCCTCGTCATTGAAGCTATCAGAGCTGACACGTGAGGGTTTGCTAGTGATTGTCCGGACCAGGTGTGCTGATCTGTTATAGACTGCGATACTGTAGGAATAGTAGTCAACGATATTCCGTATTCAACATCCAGGCGACGGAGAATAGTCACGAAAGGTTGTTCATTTCCAAAATCTTACTTCGAAAATTTGTCAACATACTGTCAAAATTACTTGATATATTCTTATGCAGCTGGTGAAATAAACTATAAGGACTTGGCTTTACTACTAACCTATCCGACCGGGGATTCGTCTTTCTCGTCACCCCATCACGCTGAAGAGAAACCGCCTTCTACTGTATTCCGAAGCTTCAGCTTTCACAATCTGATTAAATGTCTCATTATGGCACATTTTCTGTCTAAAGTTGCCCGAAAAATGGGCCTACTTGGTGTTCGCATCACGGTGGTGCGCTTTTCTCGCGGCAAAGTACGCATTATCCAGTCGGTCTTTCCATCCGATGATTGGGAAGTGAGTGTAAACAAGCCCATGATAGTGAATTTCGGTGGCTGACGTCTCCAGCAGAGTATTCTCCCTGAGGAAGAACAAGGACCTGCGTTGGAGAAGGATCAATGGTGAGGCTGGATTGACTGTGAGATATAAAGTATAGAAAGGGCACTACAAATCCATCGTTCACCACCCCGTCGGTACCTGAACTACCTGTGATATAAACTCTCAATAGGCCGAATCCTCTTCTCCAATACCATGGACTTGATCACAAGCCTCCAGAATATCCTGACGAGTATCTTTGATCTTGATACCATCCAGCTTACTGTTTGGACCACTTCAATTTCCGAAGTCATTAAATAAAAAATCTACAGTGGGAATTCAAACCAACTGGAGGCAGAAATGCTTGTAATTTTCTCAGCCGTCAAACAACCGCTCTGTGCTTCATTTTCAGGTCTCTTGTTCTTCCTGCTACCAGAGACCGGGTTCAGATATTCGTGGTGGGCACTGCAGACACAAATCGATGTGAACCACGTAAGGCCTTTTGCATGGACCTGAGACGTACCTGCTTGATGGCAAAACGGGATCCCTATCCACGGCCATTCCTCGCGAACTTCAACGTGTCATTACAACATTTTACGTGATGATCGCCAAGCCCACCAAAGTACAAAATAGCAATGTTTTCCGATTACAGCGGTCGACCATGCAAACCAGTAACGTATATAAACCGTAGCAACGGAGTAACCGTGGCGAAATATTGCAGGTACTTCTTACATGAACTGGAAATTATTTTTCACTCTCATAATTCATAAAATCATCTGACGTTCAGTTTACCATCTGCCTTTCACTATGGCCGGATCAGTTACAGAGAAAACCTCAAGAAGTTAGGTTGTTACACCGACGAAGCGTGGACTTTTCTCCTCCATTTTCAAAGCTGAGCAGCCATAGCATAAATCCTGCAGCAATAAAATATAAAGCTTGCTTTATTGGATTGTCTGAAAATCCGCGTCCATTACGTTCACGTTGGTAGTTGGTGGAACTTATTTCTCAAGGCCTGTAAGAGGTCATGTATCAGGCGATGTACTGTGACCGTACGATGTACCTCCATCCCGGAGATATTTTGATACACCAAGTCCAAATATGGTGCTTAACTACCACGAAGGCCTCAACTATTCCCCCAGATAGCTAGATCAGTCTTACATATAGCCGCAGACAGTTTGGAAGAATTTGAATTCGTGATCGCGTTGGTGACCGTCAGCTTCTCCCGCTTGCTCCATCGCAGCTCCAGACAGATAAACTTAAGTTGAATAGATATTTCTTCATACTTGATATCGAATATGCATTCCTCTATATCTCAACCACCAGGTATTCAATTCGGTCAAAATTCTAGCATGTACATGTCTAGAGGTAAAGGAAGAATATAATCCCGTATTTGAGGTCTTTCAGACTGGTATTTCCATGCTTTACCCTAAAATACACCGTCAAATACATATAACTTCATCGTTACTCGCAATTACCTTTTCCAAGTATACATATAGCCTTTTTATACTCTCCGAACAAACCTAATCATCGCAGCAGCTAAGCAGAGCTCGACGATGGTATTGCTTCTCATTGAGCATGGGGCTGAAGTAAATGCTGCTGCAAATAGTGGAAGGACTGCTATAACGGAGGCAGCACTCTTCTAGTGGGTCGAGAATGTCAAGGTCCTCCTCGAGAATAATGCAGACAAAAGTATTCGAGATAATTAAATCCGACAGGCCATTGATCTTGTTCAAGACAAGCACCGAAACAGACGAGAGAACTCGCTTAAGACGGTGGCGCGCTTGGAACGAGGCGGGAATCTTCCTTCCGTTGGCGCTATGAGCGGATGGTCACATCCCTCTCTCCAGTCTCTCAGGGTCGACGGCCGGCAGTGGACGGATGATGTATTTTACATCTCGGAAGTCGTGGGTCATCTTTTGCCTTTTGAACTACGGTCAGGGTAGAGATGGTCAATACAATGCATGTCATGCAGAAAAGCAGTTGATTGCATACTTCATTGATCGTCATGTATTCCTCCCACGCGATGTACTGCCGGACTCAGAACTGGAGACAGAGATTGAGTTAATCGACGATGAGCTTGAGGAGTTCCTATCAACGACTCGAACGGGACGCCAATTTACGTCTTCCAGAAAGAGAAAGAAGGTCCTAGAGAACGAGGTATTTGATGGGGATGAAATGCTCATCGGTAAACATGATCAAATCCGGACATTGAGGTTGGAGCTCGAATCTGTTGAAACAACCCTAAACCGGCTAATCGCTGCCTCCCAAGCCGGGGCGTTTTTACGGTTAGAAAGCCAACTGGAGGTTCTAAATCACCAAAAAGACAGACAGGAGGACTTGATCAGTATGGCTAATGCGCCACCCCCGTCTTCATTAACCGAGGCGGTTATGGTGATCAGCTCGCCTCCTTGCCAGGACTGCATCATGTCCAAAGACAAAGTCAATAGCTTTTTTGGGCTGGCTTTACAATTATTTGCCGCACTTTGATTTATGCTAGCTTTGAATAGGTACACAAAGACAATTACAGACTCGTGAGGAATGCTAAGGTTTCAACCGTATTCGGTACCGCTGAAGGTTTCTTGATGTTTATCATGTGATTGAGAGCTTCTGTTGCTCCGTCCTCACTAAGACACGCTAGCTTTGTTCATACTTTGAAAATTGCTCTATAATCTCTTGCACTGTACTAAACACGTAATGCACACAATTAATCGCAATCTAAAAGAAACCTAACTGACAAGGACAAAAGGAAAGGCGACGTATCAAAAGCTAATAACTGAACAGTACTCTTTGAAGTCTCAGCTTTGTATTTCATCTTCAGCCCTTCGTACATCATCACCGCCGCAAGCCCTCTTTGATTGGCGTCCCCTGCTGGAATCGGTCTTATGCTTTTCAGCCTGGGTGGCTTTTTTTGCTTCAAGGTGCGCTGGGCCTCGATGATATCTTCGTAGCCCATAACTTTAGCATTGCCTACCTTGCGTGCTAGCTTTGATGTTCGACTTCGCTTTTCGTTGTTCTGTGCCAACAGCCGCTCGTTGTCATTGCGAAGAAGTGCACGGTCCGCGAATGCTTTCTCCGCTGCGTGGGCAAGACGGCTGACGAGAAGCTTAGAGTCTTCGTCCCACCCACGAGCTTCTTTTTGCATCTTACGACACAGCGATCTTAGACCGTCAGCCGTGATGGGTGTTTGTTGTGTTTGTAGCAGGTCTGCACTGACAGGGCGATGGGCTACTTTAGCAACATTCCCCTATTGGAGGAACTGGGACTTGGAGGCGGCTGAATATCCTTCAGTACCCGGTCAGGGTTCCAAGGAAATAATCCAGTTTTAGACCAGCCCGCGTTGGTGTTACGGGGTATTACAGCAGAGTTTCGTGCCCGGCTATAAAGGGAAGTGAAATGCTCCAACCGCACAGCATTAGCTCCACCCCGATAGAAGAGCTCTACTTGTTCCCGATAGGCAGTCTTCAGTACTGAACACGCCCACATCACACGGCTGAAGCTTATGCGAAGTATGCGAGGGAACTCGGCAGGGAATGATATTATTTGCAAGACAATATTTCAAGACCTTGAGGGACTCATGCGCAGCAAACCCGTCGCTAATCAAAAGGCGCGGCCGCTTACCAGCACAATCCTTGGTTTGAGGGTGAAAGACATGCTGGATCCAGTACAGGTTGATGGAGCTGTCTGTGTATCCGTTCTTCGAGCAGGCAAATGCCATCCAGGAGTGGGGTAAGTGGTCCAATTACTACGGTGGGTAGAAGCAGGCCAAACAACCAGGGGATTCAGAGACCTACCATCTGCCGACAGGCACTCAACGGCGGTAACCATTTTCCGTTTTACAGCAGCATCAGGATATTTACACTGGAGGTAGGAAATTGATCACTCGCCAATGCCAAAGGAAATATGTCCGACGCATTTTGTCGCTTTCTTCTACGCTCTTGACCATCTTGGCATCTCGAGAGCAGCCTTCCATTGGGTCAGTCCAGTTGCGGTCGCCTGCGAACAATTTTTCGTAGTTGTCATAAGCCGTAGGTGAGAAACCAGCTTTTTTCCTTTAAATTGGTGGGCCATTGAGATACAAATACCTCTCTACTTGTCTAAGCTAGGGTTGTTTTGGCTATTTGTGGCACAGAATGACGAAATGATGCATTCTTAAGCTTTGACCGACAAGTGCCATGAAGCAGGTTATTGCTTCTCAATTGAGAGGGAGAAATGGGGCATTTCACCCGTATCAACTTTTATTTCAAGTTTTGTCCACATGTCGGTGGATGGAGTTTTATCTGATTTCACGAAGAGTCATATATCAGAGATTGACGTCTGTCTACTTCAAGTACCCAACCGATGACCTCCACAATCGAGGTAAAGGTGGGCATTTTTTTTCAGCCTTCCTCAATATATTTCTCTAAAGTGTTCACAGCCAAGCTATTGGATACCTTTAAGTGAGAGGCTTCCTACAGCAGGACACTTCACGATATCTCCCTCCAGATACGTTCATCGGTCATTCGCTGAGAGCCTCATACATGAAGGGCACATTGAACAATACATAATTGTACAATTGTCGCTCAATGAACTGTTGAGATTACGTGGGCCGGTTGGTCAATACGTAATGTGCCTACTTACCTTAACCCCGGAGTAATCGAACCGTCCCCCGTAAGACGGTTTTGACCAGATATTAAATAGCAATCACCTCAGAAGATCCATCTAATTCAAATTTATTCGTTTCACAATGAGTTGCAATGAATAAATTCATCAATTATCAAGGAGAGGGCCTAACTCTGAAATTTGCCTCTATTATCCATCTTCAAATTATCTCCAAATTCACTCATTTGTGAGAAACTGCCTTGTTTAGCTACCTTCAATGGCTGTGTAATTTAAAAAGCAGGTACTGTGTGTAGAACCACGCACAAAGTTTCTGTGTTTCTGTGAAGTAGAGTATTGAATTCAAGACTTATGCAGAACTTATTCTCGCTCGTGACTGAACCTTGGATTTCGGTTCTATTTCATATAGCATCTGTGACATTGGTGGAAAGTATAACAATGTGTTCATTCTATTACCTTTCGATCAAAACTTATCCTGTTCAGAGAGCTTCAAATCCAGAATAAAACATTCCATGATCGTGAGCCCTCGAGCGTGTAGTAAAGGAGTGGTCAAGTGACCTTCCGTGGCTTGTGTGAAGCTATAGTTCATCATTTAGTAAGGAACCAGAGTTTTGCCTTCAGAGTCAGCAAGCCTCTGGGCCAAAAAACAGCCCAAAAATACAAGCCACCATTCCCATTACTTCATGAAGCCAGAGACCCCAATATGCGGCTGAGGTTGTCATAATCCGGTATCTGGTTGGATGCAAGGCCTTTGACGGAGTTCATATACTCGCACAGTGGCTGCAAACCACTGCATAGGTTCACTGTTGCGAGGGAAGACTTCATTGACAAGATTGAATCCCCTGCCATACCATGCACTTGCCACGGAAGCTGCCCGCGAAAGAGAAATACAAGGACGTATCCC